TCAAGGCTCATTCATAAATCCTTACCTTTTTGCGTTGGTAATGGACGAGTTAACATGACATATTCAAGATGATATTCCTTGGTGTATGCTTTTCGCAGACGATATAGTGTTGATAGATGAAACTCAAGAAGAGGTAAATGCGAAGCTTAATCTTTGAAGAGAAATGTTGGAATCTAAAGGTCTTCGCCTAAGCCGATCAAAGACAGAATATATGGAGTGCAAGTTCAGTGCAAATGGAGGCCAAAATGAGTTAGGAGTGAGGATCGGAGATTAGGAAATACCAAAGAGCGATCGTTTTCGCTACTTATGATCTATCTTGCAAAAGAACGGAAAATTAGATGGAGATTTCAACCATAGAATACAAGCTGGATGGATGAAGTGGAAGAGTGCATCCGGCGTGTTGTGTGACCGCCGTATGCTACTGAAGCTCAAGGAAAAATTTATAGGACGTCAATAAGGCCAATGATGCTGTATGGCACAGAATGTTGGGCGGTAAAGCATCAACACGTACACAAAATGGGTGTAGCGGAGATGAGGATGCTTCGTTGGATGTGTGGGCACACGAGAAATGATAAGATTAGGAATGAGGATATCCGAGGTAAAGTAGGAGTAGCCGAAATTGTAGGAAAGCTGAGAGAAAATCGGTTACGGTGGTTTGGACATGTGCAAAGAAGACCTACTGACGTTCCAGTTAGAAGATACGACTACGGAACAGAAGTTCAGGGCCAAATGGGTAGAGGAAAACTTTGGAAGAGACTTTAAGAAAAGACTTAGAGTACTTGGATCTAACGGAGGACATGACACATGACCGAGCACAATGGCGTTCTAAGATTCATATAGCTGACCCCACTTAGTGAAGAAGGTTTTGGTGTATTTAACACAATACGTTGAAATGAAGCAAAGCTTATTTATTGATATCTCCGATAAGTTACAAATATGTACATATACATGAGTCAAAATAAACAAACAAGAGGGAGCTTTCACAAAGGTTGCTTAGGAGAAGTCTCAGCAGTCGGTAGAGCCCTAGAAAGAGAAGGCACCGGAAGGGGATCATTTGGAGTCTCAGTACTGGACAGAACCCTAGAAGGATGAGGTATCGGAGGTTGATCATTTGGAGCTTCATTACGCGGTACAGCTCCAGAAGACGAAGGCGATAAATGCATTTGGAACAAACCCACAAACCTCTGATGATCAAGTAGAACCTGACAATCAGATTCCTTCATCTGGTCAAGCTTCCTCTTCATGTTTGTAGCATAGTCATGTGCGAGCCGGTACAACTGTTTATTTTCATACTTGAGCCCTCTAATATCCTGTTTGAGACTCATTACTTCAGTCGCCAATGATTCAACTTGGCGGGTTCGAGCAAATAGGCGTTGGGCCATATTAGACACAGAACCTGCACACTGAACACTCAGAGCCAGAGAATCCTTAACAGCCAACTCATCAGACCATTTAGAAAGTAGTCTGTTATATTTGGGAGTGAGAAGATTCCTGACCACCACCGCAGCAGTCATATCATTTTTCATCACGGAATCCCCAATGGTAAGAGGACTAGTAGGGGATAAAAAGGATGCGCGCCATATGTTGTCTGGATAAGGCATGGCTGCCTCTTCAACAAGGTTCAAATCAAAACGACGGTCAGAAGGGCCAGACATTTTCAAAGTGTTGAAGAGAGAAGAGGTCGGACAAATCAAGATCTTAGAAGTGTAAGAAGGGAGCTTCTATTGGTGGAGATTTAAGTGTGCTTTGAAGCTTAATGTCAGCCTCTATAAAAATCTGCACTCGACGGAGCTTCAAAAATTGAAGAGGCGTCTGCCTAGAAATCGAAGAGGCGTTTGCTTTCTCAAAATCTGGGCTGCTTAGAGACCACGAGGGCCGATCTTAGAAATCGAAGAGGCGTTTGCTTTCTCAAAAGCTGGGCTGCTCAAAGACCACGATGACCGATCTCAGAAATCGAAGAGGCACCAGCTTTTTTCAGCCTTGTCAACACCTGTCACATGCACACTCAGCTTTGCTGAAATTACGGGCATTCTGTTGAAAATTTCTGGTGAAGTAGAAAGCACGTGAATCTTACTGTTCAATCATCCACTTTCCACACGCACCATCAGCTTATGGGTACCACAAATAACTTTGCCAAAGATCTCTGACAAAGTTTAGACACGTGAAGCTTGCAGCTCCCACATCGGTATGACCAAGAAGGGTAAAAGAATAGCAAAGAAACAGCATTAATAAAGTTTAGACACATAAATTTTGAAGGTCTAGCTACCATATTATTACCCACATGAGTAAAGGAACAGCACCACTGTTGGATAATTGGAAAGTCCCTGTGTGTCAACCTCTATGCTCCGTGGAAAGGTAGACTAGCAAACATGCCCAACCTTTACTCACATTCGAGAAAACACTCCCAACAAGATTGTTTGCTCCAAAATCGAAGATGCACCGCCATTCGAATCTCGAGAGCCAGACTCCCAACATGATTACTTTCTCAAAAATTGAAAAGACATGGCTATCCGAATCTCGAGAGCCAGACTCCCAGCAGGATTGCTTTCTCAAAAATTGAAGAGGCACCGTTCTCCGAATCTCGAGAGCCAGATCCCCGACAGGATTGCTTGTTCGAAAACCGAAAAGGCACCGCTCTCTCAACTTCGAGAGCCAGATCTCATTGGATAAAGCTTGTCTGTAATCTTCACACGCAACATCAGCTTTCCAGATACCGCAGACCATTTTTTCAAAATGCTCTGACACACGTGAAGCTGATTGCTCCCACTGCCGTGCTATGACCAAGTAGGGTAAAGGAATAACATTACTACTTGTTGTTAGAGAGACTCCTATATATGTCTACCTCCATTTTCAACGGACAAACAGACCTGCAAAAATACTCAACCCTTCCTCATATCTGAGAGAGCACTCCCAACGAAGCCTCTTGAAATACTCAGCTTTCCTTCCCCCGGATAATACCTCTGCAAACAAGCTACACCAGAGCAAGAATATCTCATATCATCAGGGTTAAAAGCAAGAGTATCCCATATCATGCTTTTTCCCTGTCTTTTCATTTGGCCTTGTTCTTACCTGCAAGACAAGGAAAAAGAGAGCAATCAGTCAGCACTTGTAATCCAGCTTCCAGTCAGGAACTGACTGCCTAGAACCCCTTACCTCATTACTTACCTGACATTGCTCTCGAGTACTTATCTTCAACATCTTATGCTTCTAGAGAAGATACCACATCTGCCTAAGGAACAGATAGGGAAAGTGAGAAGGATACAAGGAAGCATGTGGAGACAAGCGTAACAGAACACGTGCTGATACATCCACTACTTTGTCAACAGCAAAAGTATTCCATATCAGCAGGGTCGAACGTACTCTAGATTTGATGGATTTGTTTTGACCCTCAAATTCTTCAGTCGGCCTTATACTCTGGAAGAAACCAAAAAACCCTCCAGCCCAGTTCAAGAATAAGCATGTGGAAAGTTACTTCTTCAAAAGCAAAAGTATCTCATATCATCTATTCTCATTTTTCTTCTCTTTATCTTTCATGTTGCCTGCAAGATAGGGAGAATGAGAACAATAAGGCGGAACTCGAAATCAAACTTCTGATTTGGGACTGATTGCTCGGAGCTCTGATTGCTTATCTTGTCTGTCACCTATTTCAGTAGATCCCCTATCTCGGCGACTTAGGGGACTCCTACTACATAATTTGTATCGCGTTTGACCAAGCCTGAAACTACAAGTAAGCTTCAAGTGAAATTGATACATTACCTTGTGCATCTTCACCAGTTAAAGATACCACCCCTAGATGGAGGAAGAGTACTTCCAGAGAAGATGCCACATCTACCTATGAGACAGATAAGGCAAGTGAAGACGATACCACACTTCGGTACTTAGAAGTTTCGTGATTACGAGATCATTCTCCCACAATATTTCCTAATGTCATTTGTACTAAATCATTCACTTGTACTCACTAAAGGAGAGCTTGAACTTATGTACTTGTGTAAACTCTTCACAATTAATGAGAACTCCTCTACTCCGTGGACGTAGCCAATCTGGGTGAACCACGTACATCTTGTGTTTGCTTTCTTGTTTCTATCCATTTACATACTCATCCACACTAATGACCAGAGCAATCTAGCGAAGATCACAAACTTAATACTTTCTGTTGTACCAAAGTCCTCACTGATTTTGTGCATCAATAATCCTTAAGTCCTTACTTTTTTGTGTTGGTAATGGATGAGTTAACATGACATATTCAAGATGATATTCCTTGGTGTATGCTTTTCGCAAACGATATAGTGTTGATAGATGAAACTCAGGAGGGGTAAATGCGAAGCTTAACTTTTGGAAAGAAGTGTTGGAATCTAAAAATCTTCGCCTAAGCCGATCAAAGACAGAATATATGGAGTGCAAGTTCAGTGCAAATGGAGGCCAAAATGAGTTAAGGGTGAAGATCGGAGATCAGGAAATACCAAAGAACGACCGTTTTCGCTACTTAGGATCTATCTTGCAAAATAACGGAGAATTAGATGGAGATCTCAACCATATAATACAAGCTGGATGGATGAAGTGGAAGATTGCATCCGGCGTGTTGTGTGGCCGTCGGAGGCCATTGAAGCTCAAGGGAAAATTTTATAGGACGGCAATAAGGCTGACGATGCTGTATGGCACAGAATGTTGAGCGGTGAAGCATCAACACGTACACAAAATGGGGTTGGACATGTGCAAAGAAGGCCTACTGACGCTCCGGTTCGAAGATGTGACTACGGGATAGAGGTTCAGGGCCGAAGGGGTAGAGGAAGACCTAAGAAAATTTTGGAAGAGACCTTAAGAAAAGACTTAGAGTACTTGGATCTAACGGAGGACATGACACAAAACCGAGCGCAATGGCGTTCTAGGATTCATATAGCCGACCCCACTTAATGGGAAAAGGCTTTGTTGTTGTTGTTGTTGTAGCGTGTACAATGCTCACCTGGTTTAGTTTCACCCAGAATTCAGAGACTGAAGGGGTGTATCGTTGAAGGGCATTCATTCTCCATTAAGTATGCATTAAAAGGAACATCTGCAACAACACTGAATCTTTATTATCCCCCCTACTGGTGTACAAAACAAACAAAAACTGAAAGGCATACAAAAGAATGGAATCGTCAATCAACAGTCGCTTGGTTCATAGATGCTAAACCTATAGACATAACAGAAAGGATTTCTTTGCTTAGTTATAACTAATGCTAGTGACACAGACAAATGGATCTAAGCAGGGGATGAAAAAGGAAAGTACATGACGTAAGGAGAACAACCTCCTCTTGGATGCGCTCCTCTGCAGTTTTCCACCAAGAGGTATGTCAAATTGCTCTAGCATAGTCAGTGGCAACTTTGAAAGCAGACACCAGACAAGCCATAGGAATCACCTGCGTCCAGCTTCGTGTCATAGCAGCAATGGCTCCCCCTGCTACTGCACCAGCAACCAAACCATTCACCTGCCAGAAGGGGGAAAAGTACAATTCTTTTAGCAGGCCATCATGCTTCTGCACATCATATTATTCTTCAGGTTATTATTGTCCTACTCCTACATATGCAAGAATATCAACGAGCGTGTCAAGCGATAAACATACAATCACAATCATACAAAAATGTAAGCTGCCATTTCATGGGATTTCAGAGTTTTAAAGTTTGCTTGACATGTCCTTTAGCTTAAAGAATTAGCATTTCAAACTTTATTCTTTAGATACTCAATGAAGATACAAAATCCGGTTGCACCACCAATATAGACAAATTATCAAGTGCAACCTTTGCAAGTTTTACATAGAAATCCACTATCCAGCTGGCTAGCTGGTGAATCTGGTGTTGCAAGGAAATATGTTAATGCAGCAGCAATGGTGTGTCCCGGATAGAATATAGAACCCGAGTGCAAGAGCTTATGAGCAATGCAAGTTGGATTACATTGCGCAAATTACTAACAAGCGCTTCGTTTGAATTAGTAACCATAATCACGATTATCGTTATTTGGACTTTCCAAAAGCACATTTAGATCACAATGACTTTCCAAAAATTGGGTTTCTTCCTAAAACACAGATGTCGATGGATATACTCACTAACCCAATCACTCTTTCCCCGATATCTTTGAAGCCCGCAATGAGTAACAGTACATATCCCAGCAACGAGTCCTGCAACCCAATGCCGCTCAGAACATAACAAACAGAAAACAAAAACAAAAACAAAAACAAGCAGCAGGATTTATACATCTGAGCTTTACCATATTGCACTCCACACGCTCCAGCGGACCTCGCCTGCTCACGGAACCAAAGCAAACGTATAACTCTAAGGTTTTACTAACAACACAAAGACAACATATTTTTTCACGAAAGAATCTGTACCACGAAAGCCGCCTGAGCTGCTCCAGTCAAGCCTAAATCCGCGGCAAAAAGATACAGTGTAAAAAACCCAAAATTAATTTGCCATTTTTAAGCTAAGAACAATTGAAAAGTTCGGAACTTTACCTTGTTTACGAGCATCGTGGGGACCGGAACACAAGCCCCAAATTACACCGGCCTGAAATTAATGGGATTTTAGAACAAAGAACTTGGGAGAAATAGAAATTAGAGTAGATTGTTTTCCACTTGAGTTCGGAAGGGGTTGGGTTTACCGTTCCGATGCGGAGGATGGAATCGACGGCGACAGAGGAGCAGGGCACGACGTCGTACGGCTCTCCCTCCATCTATCAGTTCCGCTCCCGCTTTCCGAAGCAAAATACTCAGTTACTCAGGTGCCGAAACGACGCCGTGGACCCTTGACTCGTCGGAACTAATCCGAGACGAAACGAAACGTGGGAAGAGAAACCACCAATACGACAGCGTTAAACCCATCTGGGCTTATGAGATGATTGGGCCGGGTAGACAGGCCCAGACGTGTTTGTAGTTAAGTCTTATACTCGGGCTTTGGGCCCGTACCCGAAATATAAAATAAAAACCCGCGAATCCAAAACCCTAGCACCTTTTATTCTACTGAGAGCTAAGAGCTAACCCTAACATACGCAGCTCCCACACGCAGAGAGAGAGAGAGAGAGAGGGAGAAGCAAAGATGAGTCGTGGGGCGGCAGCGGGGACGAAGGGAGGGAAGAAGAAGGGAGCTTCGTTCACGATAGACTGCGCGAAGCCGGTGGAGGATAAGATCATGGACATCGCCTCACTGGAGAAGTTCCTCCAGGAGCGCATCAAGGTCGGCGGCAAGGCAGGTGCTCTCGGTGACTCCGTCACCGTCTCCCGCGAGAAGAACAAGATCACCGTCACCTCCGACTCCAACTTTTCCAAAAGGTACCAACACACGCTCTTACCTTATTTTATTTATTTGTTTGCAAATACCATTTTGCTTTATACCCATTTGCAGATCTGAATTTTGATTAAAACCCAATGATTTAAACCTCATTTGCTTGTAATTATTTGTGGAATATGTTTTTTATTTGTATATTTTTGAGCAAATATTTGATAATGCGTTGGTTTGTTCTTCAATTTGAAGTTTTAATCTTTTGAATTAGTCAAGGTTTTGGATTATTGCATTTTACATGAGTATACATTGCGGCTGAAAGTAAAATAATTAGATTTCTTGTACCTTGATTAGTAGTAGTTGCAATTAGAAACTTGATAATTTGCATATGTTAGGCTAATTGATGCAGGTGCTCACTTGTTTGTAACTATTTTTTTTTTAAACAGTCATATTATCTACACTAAGGGGAGGGAGTGGGCTTAGCCTCACGATGGGCTAGCAATAATGTGGTTCAAATTTGCGTTTGGCGAGAACCGAACCTAAGATGTTTGTAACTAATTAACGGTGTGTAAAACAATATTGTTTCGGTGGTTGGAAATCTTTGATGCTGGGAAGAGAATTTGCAATGGCTTATTTTCTCCATATCTCGGAATTTTAGATTTCTTTTCAATTGTATTTTGGTTTGTTGCATTTCTCTGAATGTAAATTGAAGTTCAGCTTAAAGTGTGTGAAAGTCTTATATCTTGACTGGTAACGGTTTCAGTTAGAAAAATGGATACTCTTATGTCAATTGTTGAGCAGTAATTGTCTTCTCTGTTTTCTTTTGTGTGTAACCTTTGTATTGCTCGTTTCTCAGGTATCTTAAATACTTGACGAAGAAGTACTTGAAGAAGCACAACGTGAGGGATTGGCTTCGCGTGATTGCATCCAACAAGGACCGCAATGTTTATGAATTGAGATACTTCAACATTGCTGAGAACGAGGGTGAGGAGGAAGACTAAGCACTTTGTCTCCTGTTTTGTGGCATTACCGGTTGGTCTTAGTTGTTCTTTAGACCGTCTTTTGTTTTTTAACCTGTCTTATCTATCAACTTCTGTTTTAGCTTGTTTCATGATTGATACTTCCTATGAAATTAAGCTTCTTCTAAGACTTTGTTTTGAAATTTAGAATCTGGTTATTACATTATCTATGTGCCTGGTGCAATACATATTTCCTCGAGGAATTTGGTTATGGCGGATTGAATTTTTCTACGGTGTTTTATGTACAAGATCTGTGAAAACTTTCACCTTCATTGAACTTTGTTTTATGTACAAGTCGTTAATTGTAGGGATTGAGTTGGACTCATCTTATCTAGTTGTTAATTAAACCGTGTTTAGTTGAGACTGAATTGGCGTTATTTCCGAGACCCGAAGTTTGATTATCTCATTCTCCAATATTGCTCGCATAAAAGAAACATCGTGATGCAAACCTAAACTTAATCAATCAGATTGATTAAGATTATCTGATTGATTAAGTTTAGGTCGCTCATATAAAAGAAAACATATACATAATCTGTGATGTAGACCTAAACTTAATCAAACAGATTGATTAGGATTATTGCTCGTATAAAAGAAAACATATATATAATCTTGATGTTGACCTAAACATAATCAATCAGATCGATTAAGATTGTGTGTCCATCGCATCATGTAAGTTTAAATTTCAGTTTGGCTGATTGCTTTAAATTAGTATATTGCTCGAAAATAACAGATTAAAGTAAGGGAATTTTAACGAAAGTACTGTTTATTTTTAACGAAAATGACATTTACTCTAAAAAGTAGTATTCTAAAAATCTCCGTCTAACGTCGCCTAGGCGCTAGGCACTAGGTAGCTGGTCATCGTCCCGAATAATGCCTAGACGTTTGAAAATTAAGAAATGGTGCCTAGACCAGTTGAGATGCCCGCCTAGACTGTCTAGGCACTCGCCCAGACCCGTTTAGGTTGTTACTCACTTAGATGGAAAATAGATAACTTTCTTTTTGCATTTTATTTTTTTTCAATAAATTGTAAGAGATTTATTGAATACTTAAATGAACACACATTATATGTTTGTTCCTCATGTTTTCATTATATTCCAATACTTCATAATGTATGTCATTTTATTTTGTAATTTATAATGAAATTATATATATTTTAAGTATAAACAAACACTTATTTACACGAAATATAATAGATTTACTTAAATCCACCTAGTCCGCTTGCGCTCGCCTAAGCCCCGCCTAGCCTCTTAGGCTCTAGGCTTCAGCTCACCGCCTGATTAACGCCTAACGCCTTTCATAACCTTGCAAAAAAATCACTCTTGGTACTATTCACTTACAACATTTTTTTGTCATTTTGATTAAAATTCAAAGTTTTCGAGTAATTTTCATTAGTTTTCTTTTAAAATAACCACATTACCATGATTTCAGCTAAAAAAGAAAGAAAAAAAAAGACATGTTTGGTGCCGCAACACTTGGACCTGATTCTTGCCTGCCTTTTTCTTCTACATTGATGCATCTGAAAAATGCAAAACAACACAAATCACAATTACACATGGTTGAGGCCACACGTCAACAGAGTAAACCTAAGTGAATAACCAAAAACATTTAAAATACTTCTTGGAAGAAGCACATAAGTATATAATTGGTGCTTCTTGCAAAAAACATTTTAAGTGTTTTTACATAACTTACTTACATTTTTACTAAAAATTGGTTCTAAAAATATTTTCACAAAAAACGTTTTCAATCATTTTAAAAACAAATCCAAACGGGCTCGTATTACCATGATTTCAGCTAATAATAATGAAACCAAAATAAATAAATAAAAAGAAGACATGTTTGGTGTCGCAACTCTTGACCTGATTCTTGCCTGCCTTTTTGTACATTGATGCATCTGAAAAATGCGAAAAATGCAACACAAGACAAATCACAATTACACATGGAGGCCAGACGTCGACAGAGTAAACCTAAGCGAATAACACCAATTGGGAAAGTTATAAATTCTTAATCATTCAACTTAAACAATTAATCTTGATTAATGGGGAAAGGTTGGGCCCACCAAACCATGCACGTTTTCGTTTTCCGACTGACAAAAACATAAAATAACAAAAAAGTCAACAGTAAAAATATCTGTTCATTTCACGGATCCCCAAAGCTTTCCGCCGATTTGGGAATTGAGACATTGATATGCCTCGTGACACCATTCATTTCCTATCGCAAATCTCCTACTTTTGATTTGGATTCGCACGCCGCCACTCGCCGCAGGAGCTTCGGCCGCCGGTTGCGGCGGCGCCGACAAGCCTCCTGCGATCCGATCTTACGTATGCTCCGCAGCTTCTTCCGTACATGTATTTATTCTTTTCCTTGTTAATTTACCTTTAATTTTGTTTTTCTAATCGAACCCGTTTGTGAGATTCAGTTGTATGTTTGATTCCATAGCTAAAGTTTCTTACTTTTCGCCGTTCGATGGTATCTCATGGATTTTAAATTCGTGGTAATGTTGGGTTTTCTGGGAAAATTTCATTGAGATTTATGTTGCGGAATTCAATTTTAAACTTGTTCTTCTGTTGTAACGGAGAAGGACTTAGATGGTACGGTTACATGTAATCTTGACCTTTAATCCACAATGATGCGATGTACCCGTGCCATGTAAGCTGTTCTTGTTGAGATGGTAAAGTGAAGCAATGTTGATTTTTGTGTATTAAGAGCTGAATTGCTCAGATGGCAGCTGCTTAACAGTATCTGATGTGCACCATTTTTTTTTTTCTTCTGATGATTAGGTTTTCTTACTTCACTGCTCTGTGGTTTCTGAACTTGCAAGCAATTTGACCAAAAAACACAAACCATGCCCGGAATTTCGAGTATAGTTGGGCGAGAAAATTGCGAAAGCTACTTGATTTTCCAGGGTGAAACAGGCCTCGGGGCTGGTTTTCGGACTTTCTTATACTTTCTTGGTCTTGCGTACTGTTTCCTTGGGCTATCTGCTATTACTGCTCGCTTTTTCCGGTCTATGGAGAGTGTTGTGAGCCACTCGCGGAAGGTGGTAGACATCGATCCTTACACTGGTGCTGAAGTTCTTAGGTATGAGAAAGTGTGGAACTTCACAATTGCAGACATTAGCCTGCTGGCCTTTGGGACTAGCTTTCCTCAAATATCATTGGCCACGATTGATGCTATAAGAAACCTTGGGAACCTGTATGCCGGAGGTTTGTTTTCCAAAACTTGCTGAGTTATTAATCGCGTTGCTGACTTTGAGATTTTCGCTTCATGGTTCGTATTTTAACTTTTTTCCCCGATGGATTGTATACTCTTTTCGTTGTTGCATGATTTTTCATGCCACTGTTTATGTATTGCTAATCATGGTTACTTTGAACATGTTATATTGTCGGAACGTTGAGTTACACATATACGCGTATACACTGGACGAAGCATGAGTTTTCTGGTAGTAGGTAGGATACTAACTTATGAGTTGAGTAGAGTAGAGTTCTGTTGAGGGAAGTTCATGGTTTGTTATTCTTGTTCAGTTTCATAGACGTAAGGAGAAAAACAGGGAAGCACATTTCATCCTTTCTGATGAACATGATCTCCAAAAATCTTCGTTGTGATTAGAGTCAGTGAGGGATGTACTGAAATGTTCATAAGGACAATTACTGAACTATGTTTTTTTGTTTCTATTGCGTGTTTCTGCAATGATTTCTCAAGTTTTCTTTTGCTTTCAAGGTAAGGCTGGTTACAAACATTATCTTCTACCACAGTTTTTAACATTCTGCTAGTTTACTTGATTTATAGGTTTGGGTCCTGGAACACTAGTCGGTTCTGCTGCATTCGACCTTTTCCCCATCCATGCTGTATGCGTTGTCGTTCCTAAAGCTGGAGAGCTGAAAAAGATAGCTGATATAGGAGTCTGGCTAGTTGAGCTCTTTTGGTCTTTTTGGGCCTATATTTGGCTATACATTATTTTAGAGGTAATTTAAAGGAATCTTTGTATGTTAATCATGTATTTTTCTTTCGTTTTGTCTATGAAAACATTTTGATTTATGACTGACATGTATTCGGAACTCTGTATTGAAATGTTTTTACTTGATGCTGCAGGTGTGGACACCAAACGTGATTACACTATGGGAGGCCTTATTGACAGTACTGCAATATGCATTTCTGCTGATACATGCTTATGCTCAAGACAAGCGTTGGCCTTACGTTTCTCTTCCCTTGTATGTTTAAATCTTTAGCATTTGAGATCTTTGTGGTCTTTCTGATTTTTCTTGGCTGCTATCGAAAAAAATAACTGGTTTAACGTTCTCTGTATTCTGCCTTCATTTCGTGTTGTATTTCCTAAGCCCAAGAAGTGAGAGACCAGAGGATTGGGTGCCAGCTGAGGTTGTTACAGGCAAGCATGATACTGATCCCTGCAACGAGTACTCCAATATACTTGAAGTTGGTGAAGACAAAAACAGGAACGTTGACATTTTTTCCATACATTCAGAAAGTGGTTTAGGTACTAAACTCAGCATTTCAGCAACTCACAAGGCAACTTTAAACTCTACATTTCCAATATGAGGGTCTCTCTTTTGCAGGTCCAAAGTATAAAAAAGTTCCTGGAATTGATGAAACTCCCGAATCCTCAAACAAAGATTTCCAAGAGAATATGATATCACAAGACCATCATGTGTTTGCAATTTGGAGACAACAGTTTGTGGACGCAGTCAAGGTGTTGTGTTCTACACTGCATATGTTTAATTATCTGTATCAACATAGGCGTAGTTTGCGGTAACTTCCTTTTTTCTTCAACAGTTAGAAGACACGGAATCAAGAAAACTGAACAACATCTATTTGCGAGTAGCAAGAATTTTGTGGCAGTTACTTCTTGCTCCGTGGAGACTACTATTCGCATTTGTGCCTCCTTATCATATTGCTCATGGCTGGGTCGCCTTTATCGGCTCCTTAATTTTCATCAGTGCAATAGCTTACGTTGTAACAAAACTCACAGATCTCATAAGCTGTGTCACAGGTTTCGAAGATTTCAAACGATAACTTTACAGTTGACGATCAATATGATTTTGTTCGTGATCTAGCTAGTTCTCTAAAAATCTGTCTTTCCTTTACTTGCTTCTTTTTTCAGGAATAAACCCTTACGTCATAGCATTTACTGCATTAGCAAGTGGAACTTCGTGGCCGGATTTAGTAGCAAGTAAGATTGCTGCTGAACGTCAGCTTACAGCTGACTCTGCCATTGCAAACATTACTTGCAGGTTCACTCTTGATCATATCCATTCGATTTTATTTACTTCTTTTCGAGCAGTATAAAGTACATCATGAACTCAACTTGCTTTTGTGTTTCTTCATGTTATTCTGTAGCAATTCGGTGAATATATATGTTGGCATTGGTGTTCCGTGGCTGATTGACACTGCATACAATTTCTTCGTATACAAGGAACCGCTGCGGATTGAGAACGCAGCGGGTCTTAGCTTCTCGCTGCTGGTATTTTTCTCGACTTCTGTAGGATGTATCGCGGTTCTGGTAATTAGGCGTCTAGCGTTGGGTGCTGAGCTCGGAGGGCCAAGGCTTTGGGCATGGATTACCTCTGCGTTTTTCATGTTGCTTTGGTTGATTTTTGTTGTGCTTTCTTCTCTCAAGGTTTCTGATATCATATGAAAGATTTTGGTTTTTGTTTTTCAATTTTTTTTTGTAGAATATATGGTACAATCTTAAATTGTTTTTCTTTTCTTGATACAGTTGTATACCATTGTAACATTAATGTATCAAAATACATAAATTTGCAAAATCGATGTTTTTGTTTTTTAGATAACATTGACGTTTTTGTCTTTTAGATAACATTGATGGTAGGAGAGATTTTGCAAAACCGATTAAAAATTGTGACATTTTCTTCTCACACCCTCTTTCAGCCTCTTACACGCCCGTGTTTAACATTTGGTTTTCTTTTATTTTCATTCATTCTCTTTTTATTCTTCCCCCTTCCACATCACCCTCTTTCGTCCCTCCATTTTCCGCATAAACTTTCCTTATTTCTCAAGCACAAGGTTAAAAAATTAAAAACTAAAAATGAGATGATTATTAAACGAGCCGTTGAGTTGTACAGTTTCCTTACATCGGTCGATGAGTACAAACCAAAGAATGTAGAAAGCAGAAGTAGAGATATGTGTTATTTATTCACAAGATAAGATATGAAGAATGGGGGTGGCAAATCTCCACTCTCAACCATCTTATTTGGAGATGAAAACAAAGTTCAACAAGGAACAACTCTTTCACAGGAACCCTACTGCAATATCTAACTGTTACATCTTGGAAAATTAAAAAGAGATGAAAATACGCCATATCTCACCATTTCCTCGTCCGATTTTAAGTTCTTCCTTAAGCAAGGGCACCCGTAGATGCTGTGGCTGGAGCAGCGTTGAGCTGTTTCTTTGCAGAACTGCAAGTGACAAATCTGCATTGGCCAGTCGTGCAAAAAATTCAGTACAGAATGTGTGTAAGAGCCAATCTGGTGGGGTTCGAATTTGAAGATATGGAAGACAAGATGAAATAATAGTTTCATGTGATTTGAGCTTTCGTGGTCTGTCTATTTACCTGAAGAAATCCCTCCACAGTAACTCAAACATCAACCAGTTCATTCCACTGCCACCGTCATCATTTCGGTTTGATGAAGCAGAAATGGTTCTATCAATCATAAAATATCATGTATTGGTGAGCAGAGTACATATCGAATATAAATTTTAGAAACTATAACACCGTTCAAAAGAAAGGCATTTGCACACCTGCTAGCCGTTTTCTTTAGCTCATCAAACATACTGCGAGGAGAAAGGCATCCCAAGACCAACCATGGCGAGACTTTGCACGAAAAGTTGGCACCAGAGATGCTATCATGACTTCCATCTTTACCCACCTTCGGTGGCTGTGCTTGGCACTCAGCAGTATACTTTTTTAGCCTTTCTAGGGCTTCAGTTTCCCCTCCCACCGCGGAAGCAATGGCAGCAGGCCTTCCATCCTACAGACAATAGAAGAAAAAATTGTCACTTTCTTCAGGGACATGTCAAATAACTCTATTAGAACTAATGAAATCAGAAACCAAAAGTTTCCAACAAATGGCGATATTTTTGTTCTTCGAATCCATTTTACGCTGACCAGCAACGGAGAAAGATGAATTGCTCCACAAATTTACAGAACAAGCTAGAGCCGAACAAGATGTATAAGTTTTTGACAAATTCGATCGATACTTCCCTTTTCATGCCTAAGCCGAAAAATTCAAATTGATTTCTCAATCGATCCCTCATGCAACAATTGTTAGAAATAACTCAAGCTGCTGTGAAAGATTGCTCATTTCTAATTAATTTACAACCTCGACATCATACATTCCAAAACACAACAATCTCTAATCCATCCAAATCACATTACACGAAAAAGTACATGATCAACTTAAACATCAATTCATACAAAAGCTCCGAAACCGAAAACACGTACCTGAGACGCAGTAGCAGACGGATTAAGCCCCAAGTCCATCAATGTTGGAATATCACCAGGCTCCACGTCGCCGCGAGACGGCAGCCCCTTCATCTGATCCAAAGCCTCAATCGTCTTCCTCACCTCCAATCCCTTCACCTTCTCCCTGAAGTCGCCGTATGTCGTCGGCATATCCTCCAACTTAAACGGCAAATCCTCCGCGTGGTACAGAGTGCTTCCCCAAAAGTACTTGACCTCCACATTCTCCTCCTTCAACGCCGCCTCAATCTTCTCCTCCTCCTTAACCTCGTCGCGCGAAACCTCTCTGTGCGCATAAATGGCGTCAGCGCCGATCGCCTTCGCCAGCTCCACCAAAACCGTCTCGGGCTTCCCGATTCTGACCACCAGATCGGACCCTCTCGCCTGGAGATTCTTCCGGAGGTCCGCCACCGATTCGACCAAGAACGACGCCCGGTACGAGCCTGTCTTATCGAACCCAGAAGAGGATTTTCCGTAGTCCTTCGGATCGAAGCAGTAGACGGGCAAGACCGATACGGACTCGTTATTGGCCGAGTTGAGGCACTCGTTGTCGTGGACTCGTAAATCGTTTCGGAACCAGACAATGGAAGCTCGACGGATTGCGGCCCCATTGGAGGGGTCGAGGGGGCGGCGCGGACCCAAAGAGAGGGGGCTCTGCAGAGGGTTGGCGGAGATGGTGGACTTGAAGGAGAGCTTGGGCGGAGTTACATTAGCCGTGGAGAGAGAGAGATGGGTCAGGGACGATGCTTGCGTGGGGACCTTGACCTTGGTCGGCTGGGAAGAAAACAAGGTGGAAACTTTGGGTTGCTGGAAGAAGTGGGCGGGGAGAATTGTAGAGAGAGAAAGTGAAAGGGAGGCGGTGGCGAATGGAGGAAATGCGGCGGCGGAAGGCACAATGGCAAGTGGGTTTTGTTCCTCCTGCGATTTGGATTCTGGGTTTTCTGGGATTTGGGAGTTGGTGTCCATTTTGCTAGGGTTTTGATGGAGAGATTGAGAGCTGGAGGTTGAAGATAAGCCAATGGCTGCCTCTGTTTTGCTTCCTCTGCCTCTCAGTCACTCTTCTCTTTCTCTCTCTAGATTGTATGACTGTTTTTTCGCGGTTGGTGGCATTGTGTGATTTTTTGAGGGGGTTTATAAAGGATTTGGTCAAAAAATACATCCAATTCAGTGTCTAATATTCACATTCATATCTGCCTGCACCTACCACCTTTCCACTTTTCAACGTCAAGCAGCCCCTCAGTCCAATTTGAATGATTGGACGGGCTTTTACGATTTGGCTTCGATACATTCTAGTACCAGTATTACAATTTTTTGGTGGTTAAATCTATTCGCGATCGTACTAAATACTTGTAAGTACTGTAGCTAATCTTGTGTATTTTATAATAACTTGTTCATTATTGTTGTGCAATCTAATTAGAATGAAACTTATGTTTCGTTTATTGAAAAGTGTGGCGCAAAGGGTTCGCACACTATTTAGTTAGACTGTTAGTTTATTTGTCGAGTCATTTGTAATTAGCACTTGATATGTGTTTGTAGAGTGGAAAGATCAATAAATTAATTTGTCTACTTAATACGTGTTTGTATTGTACTTAATATAGTACTTGTAAGTATTGTAGATAGTCTCGTATTTTTTTTATAATAACTTATCCATTATTCTTGTGTAGTTTTATGCTTTTCTTATTTTGAATTCAGCTACGATAAGAATGCATATATTTAGAAACTTATGTTTCGTTTATTGAAAGTGTAGTGCAAAGGGTTCATATACCATCTAGTTAGACTATTAGTTCATTTACCAGGTTATTTTTCGTATTTAATACGTGTTTGTAAAGTAGAAAGAACGATAAATTAATCTATTTACACAAATTTGAGATTCAACTACGATACAAATACATACTCAATTGTAATATTTATAAACACCATTATCATAGCTCGTTGAATTTGTTTTTTTTTCCCTTCAAGGGCTATTATACAATCAAGTTAAATAATTCACTATTTGCTTAGTAGTTTGTAAATACTCGTACTTAATGCATATTTGTAGAGTGAAAAAAGTAAAATAAAAAATATAAAAAATTGATCAATCCCCACAAGATTTGGGATTGTGGATCAAGTATTTGAGAATAGATCATCTCTAGATCTCTTCCACCAAGGCCACTAGATTATGTGATTCGGATTTTTAAAATTTCATCTAACGGTCCACTTGTTTTGATTCTTTAAAAACTATAATAATTTTGAGCTATTGGATGAAATTTTAAAATCCTGGATCATTTGATCCGATGATCTTAATAGAAGAGATCCGAAAAGGATATGTTCTCCAAGTATTTGTTCACTTGGCTAATTGGTTGCCAAGTCTCTCAAATTGTTAGGTGCATTATTTATTTATTTTTGGGTCGAAGTGTGGGTTAGGTGCATGTCAATTCATGAATAGACATTTTAGGTATCCTAATAACTTCACTCACAACCAAACATCATTTTGGACACCCCAACCCTGAAAAATGGTTTGAGAAATCCTTCAAAAGTGAGATTCTACGTCAATTTTATGCAAATTTATAATTTAACGTTAATTTTTATATTAATATTATAAAATATTATGTAAAAAATATGAAATGACGGAAAGTCTATTATAGCCACACTTTTAAAAAGCCATCTTAATATTTATCCTCTAATACTATGTTTAAACGAGAGAGAAATATAATTGAAAATTAATTACTAATCTGTACTCCTCTAATTATCCCAAAACCGTTTGATGGCAGTTAAACGCTGTGTCGTTTTGGGCTTTGTTGACTGGAGGTCGGGTCGGGTGCGCGCAACGCGCTCCTTGCGCAGATTAAGAGGCGGATTATGACTGCAACTCAATACTGAGCTCATCGTGAGGACGATGATCGCTCCCATTCTTTCGTAGGCGGAGACTGAAGACTCATCTGAATTGTATGGACTGTTTAGCGGGTTTTTCACATGCTCCGGCGACTGCTATCTTGCGCCGACCAGTGCTCTACAACGCTTTAAGAAGAACAGGTAGAAATGGGGGGTTGAAACTGCGAGCCAAAATCGTCGAGGAAAACGACCCAATACTGAAATCCGCCATTGATTCAGCTTCCCTTCGTTTCCGAGAGACCCATCGACCAGGTAAACCCATATCCTAAAGGGTTTTGTATTTGTTACCTTGTTTTTTCATTGGGGAATTTATCAAACAGTTGGATGGTTCGTGTTGTGGAGTTTCGTTGAGACGCAGAGTTTCGAAAGATGAAATTTTTTAATTTAAATTTGTGAAATTTATCAGTTTTTAATTAATAATTTCATGTGCAGAGCCTCTGTTTGTTGATCCGTATGCTGGTTGCTTTGTTCCTCCTGATGTTCAGATGGATATGAAGCAATGCTCACATCATTATTGCGTTGCTACGAAATTCATGGACGATAAGTTGCTTCGAACAGTAAACCATATTGATGGACTTAAGCAGGTAAATTCATGGACGATAAGTTGCTCCTATCGCAGTTTGGCACACGTGCAGAAATTTAACGTCTGTTTGTTATTCTATTTGAAATTTTTTATCATTTCTCAATACAAGAACCTTTTTTTTTTAATAATTTCCTTTAAGACTCAAAAATTTGGTTGGTTTGCGATTTAAAAATTTTAAATCTTACGACTTAAACTAGACAAAGAGATCTAAAAATAGGAGGTTGCAGGAGAGGGAGAAACAGGAGAGAGATGAGGAAAGAAAGTAAGAGATGATTGAAGGAAGGAGAAAAAAGAGAGAGGATCAGACAAGATAGAGAGGAAGAGGAGTGAGAGAAAGAAATGAGAAAATGAAGAGAGCGGATCGGAGAAAAGACGAAAAAGGTAAAAAAAAAAAAAAAAAAGAGGAGAAAGAAAGAAGAAAATAGAGAGATAGACTTGGAGTGAGAGGGGAGGAGGGAGAAAAAAGAAATCAAATGAGTGAGATTAAGTTTAAAAACTCTAAAAACTCATTTTTTATGTTTTTAGATAATAGATTATATTTTTGAGTTAGTTTAATTTTTTAAAATAATCATACCAAACAAGTTTTTAAGGCCTAAAACTTAAAAATTATTTTTGAGTTTAAAAAGTTGGATTCAAGTAGAGTACCAAATATGCCCTTATGTTTTCGTGTTTTTTATGAGTTATTTTTGCATATGTATCGAAATGCATCTTTAGAAAGTAGGAAGGGCTCCTTGAGAGTCCTTTTTTGTTGTTTATGTGGAGATAGGTGAAACTTCATGGACTTGTTCTTTATCACTCGTAGTGTTCTTGGTGATGCAGGTTGTTTTGCTAACCGATGGAATGGATACCCGTCCCTACAGGCTCAGTTGGCCAACTTCAACCATTATTTTTAATGTCTCTCCGGAACGGGTGTTCAAAACAGCAACTGAGAAGCTTCGAGGTGATTGCAAACTTACAATATTAACTATATGACAATTTGGAGAAGTTAAAGATTTTGCAGCCTGATTGAAAAAGGACATTGTGTTATGGCATAATCTTGAGTTCATTCGCTTTTGCACGTCTTGAAAAGTTACTCTAATATCATGGAAATCGATTATTTTGTTTATGCAGACCTTGTTTCATTCTAAATCATCGGATAATTTTTTTACTATGCATTATCCGCTTGTAAGTAGGCATTAAGCAGTGCAAAAAGTTCTTATCGCACTATCTTTAATCCCTCAGGTGTTGGGGCTAAGATTCCAAGAAGCTGCTTATCCCTTCATGTTCCTTTGGAATCCTCCAACATACAGGAAAGTCTGCGTGCTAAAGGGTTTAACGGCAACCTGCCTAGTATTTGGGCCATGCAGGTATCTTGACTTATCTGCAAACCATTCATTAGTTATATTCTTGTGTGTAACTATAACTGTTAGTGTTTTCGCGAGTAGGAAAATCATGTTGCTGTGTTATTGTAGGGGCTGCCTTTGATGACATTAGCAAGTTTTGAAGACATTTTGCTTACTGTAAGTGGTTCAGCGATGAACGGATGTTTTTTCATGGGAGAATTGCCGGCTTGGTTGGCAGAAACTGAAGTAGGGACCAAGGTCAGTTTGCTTACATTAAGTATGACTCAATATCGTAACTGCTTCTCTGTCAATAAATAAATACATCACCTGTTTCCTTCTGTCTTCGACAGACTAGTGCAAGGACATGGTTGGAGAAACTATTCATGAACAACGGCTTTCGGGTGGACATGGTTTGCTATGAGGAAGTTGCAAGGAGTTTAGGCAAGGATTTAGCACCGGGAAGCTATAAGAACATACTATTTTCTGCAGAACAACTTCGGTTTTCTGATGATCAGGTAACATGCTTCTCAATTCATCCTCTCTTCGTATTCCGACTTCATATGTTTCCCCGCATTCCCTCAAAAGTTACTAATTCGAATCAGTACCATTAGTTCATCAAATTGCTGACCTTTTATTGCTGACAGATGGAAACTTGGAGGAAGGAATTCCAAAGAACCGAGGAAGAAGGGGATGAGGAAGGTTTCGAAGAGCTCTAATATAATTAGGTGTTTTAGGCTACAAGCTTAAGATGACAGATTTTGCTTCTTAATTTATGGTCTTGCTTTTAATTTAGTCACGCTACGTTGTAAATTAATTTTTAATCAAATTTTGGTTGATCTTTCTCTTGCCTTCTTGTAAAAGTTTTGATGTGAATAAAACTTGCTTGTACACTATTTGTTACATGCGTACAACGGAAGTTGGAGTCGATTTCTTAATTCCGTCTACGAAATAAATTAGGAGAATATGTACAAACTGAACCGGTTACAAACTCGTTTACAACCCAATAAATTCATTCTCTTACAAGTTGGTCACGCATGAATATACAACGATTCTGAAGAATATAACTGTGAACTGGAAAACTGCATGCAACAACGTTGGACTGTTAGCGCCGAGATTCCAAGCCACATCAATCAAAATCACCAACCTAATTTCCATTTTCCATTAAGTCGAGAAGCAAACAACACAAAGAAACCAGACCTCCCGACCTTACCAGAATCGTTAACTGACATGTTCATCGGTCTTTCACTCCTAAGTTAACAAGCATGGAGTTGAACAGAACACCCTACAACCCGGCCTCCCCCCAAAAAAATATTGAAACTGCAGAAACTAGCAGGAGGCACTTTTGAAGCAGTTGAGTAGAAACGATGCTACTGTTGATTCAAGACAGAAAGTGTAGGCCGCGGTCTGACAACATTCAGCACGCCTCTAGCTGTTGCCTGTGAGAAAGAGGAAGAATGAACTGTTAGGAAACTGCGGTGCGAAAATTGAAGAATCTAGGATGAGCGACGTGGTATGGGATTGATTACCTCAAAGAAGGAGTTGAAGTTGAGACGCATCAGAAACCGCCTCAGAAATGGGGCTCGCTGGCTCCCAACAAGCCTACTACTGCGCAAGATCGTGTATAGGGAGTTTGATTTCTTGTTAAATTCCTGAACAATGGATAAGAAGATAAATTGTATATAAGTCCACATATACATATAACGCTCAAAGCCGTGTCCTTGGTACACAATGAGTCTAGTGAAAGCAGAACTTGTAACCTAACCATCAATTTATGCAGGGTTAGTCAATTCCCAGGATAGTTGCAGTAATATGTGAAAATTATTCTTCACATTAATTTCAAGAGAATATTTTCGCAAACCTCTATAATGTGTTCCAATTCAGATGTATTTGCACTGCTTTCTTGGTTCTCGATGTTCCAGCAGAACTGAAGGCAAAGTTTCATTATGCTGTCCAGAATCCTCGATAAGGAGCCAATGTCCAAGAAAGATTGTGAAATTAAAGCTGATAAATACCTGTATGAAATATAAAAATTCCGTGAGCATATGCTTTAATATAAAATATGGACACAGTATGACATGGGAAATCAAACCAGGAATGATGAAATCATTTATTCGACTTACTCCTGATGGACGGCCACAAGTCCAGTAAAGTCATGAGAATCTTGGATATGCTCTTGCAAAACATTCCATTGGGATTCTATGACATCCACCTGAAAAACAGAAAATACTTTAAGGTTCTGCACTGATTCTGTTCTATACTGCTTTGTTTTCTACTTCAGTTAACATGTAAGGCGAGAATAACAAGAGTGAAGAAAGTACGAAGCACTTTTCCTCTGCATGGTTTGTGTGCAACCAAACAATTATGAGTATCTGGAAGTGAAAGTTATATGGAATAAACCATAACCTGTATATAAAATTGAAGATTTCTAATCAAGAAAGCCATGTGCTCTCTAATACGCCACATTGGTCTAGATCGCTGCCTTCGCTGCTGAGATACTGAGCACTTTTCATGATCATTCCGATGTTTGGCAAAATCTGTGTGATCTTGTTGCATCACAGAGGCCCATGATTTCTCCAATTCCATTTGTGTACGCTTAAGCCTCAGTAGATATTGGAAGACCCTGCAGTACCTGGGATACATTCGCTGTTAGCATGCATGCACATAAAAGAAGTTCAATAGTTCAGATAATAATCAAATATTTCAGCGAATAGAAAACTATTGTAAAGTTTTAAGGACTGTTCCCCAACGATATTGAAACTAAAAGAATACGGAAGAAATAATGGCATCCACAGGTAGCACTAGCAGTAGAGTCTTACTTAGAGAGCACATCCGGAGTAAAGAACAACTGTAAGGGCCAATCAACAGAGTATTCAAGAGCAATTCCATCCCAACCGTCAAGAGAGATTTCTGAGGAAGCACTTGGGCCTGAATTCCCGTCTGCCTTTGGTAAATCTCCTTGGGAGGATCTTACTGTCATTCCAAATGAAGGCATCCTAGCAGATACAGACAGTTAACTGACTAAACACCTTTTATGAAACCTCAAAGTGAAATGACTGGTAAAAAAAATGGCTATGCGATCAAAATTTATTTAATTCAGACGCTAGAACAATCAAATATGGAGTCTAACCTCAAGGATACTCTTGAGAAATACTTTTATTTAATTCAGACGCTAGAACAATCAAATATGGAGTCTAACCTCAAGGATACTCTTGAGAAATACTTGTCTTCCTCACATATAGTCTTAATTGCAGCCTGCATTAGAAGTAGAGCCAAATAAGTTGATTCAAATGACGAGAATTCATTCGAAAATGAGCCATGTTAACGCAATTAATACCTCACAATTTCATAGTAATCTTACCAGCTGAAACGGGACCATAAGGTCAGCCTCCGCAGTTGATTGGCGAGGAGGTAAGCGCATCAACTGGCGACTCTCTTCAAGAAAGCACTGGCATAATGAATCATGTCTAATTAGGAAACACTCTAGGTGTTCACAAGAACTATCAGAAATAGCAATTTCCAGTTTCATTTATATGTTCAGGGAAGGAATACACCATCACCCCTGCCAAAATAAAATTTGAACTCTGTACTTAAAACATAGAAGTCAGCAATCTTTACATATATTCCATCCTTACCTGAAAGAAATCTCCTTTTGCTAAAAGAAAATAGTCTTTCAGTGCCTTCAGATGGCCATTTAAGTCAGCGCGTACAACCACAAGCTGCAGAAATTGAAGGAATACATTAAATTTTTTGTTCTACGACATGGTAGGACCAAAATTTTCACATTCAGCACCTGCCAAAGATGACTGGCAGCAATAGCCCTAATTGAATCAACAGCACATTCAAAAGATCTTTTGTGAAACTCAGATGATTCCTGCACATAATGAACAAATAAATTTACCCATAATTGAAATTTGTAGTAAGAGATATATATCTTACATAAGGACACAAATATAAAGATTGTCAATTACATCTCATACACCCTATGTCACATAAGCGGTGACATGATAGAGTTAGCAAGCATACGAAATAAAGATACAAATAGAAAACCTTTAGTTCCAGAAGCATAGTTTCAATCTTATCAGCCTCAGACTGTGGAAGCAATTCTTCTCCAATCAATTCTTTATCCGCAAAAGGGTCTTCGAGGAAAGGAAATCGTCCTGAAAATCCTTGAACTTTCTGAGAGCCCTTAGCCACCTGTTGAGGATATACAATGTCCTGGAACCGAAAGGCATGGCTAGGATTGCGAAGAACACTGATGGCTTTCCCAGAAAATAAAATTGATTCTGCAACACGCATATGGATATACTCGGGCAGCATATCCTACAAAGAGAAAAGGTAAGACAAAGCAACATGTAAGTAATATAGTTCCACACTTCAGTTTCTCTTTGAGGCAGTAGTAACAAAAATTGAAGTCCTTGCTAAAGGGGGAATAGGAATAAAACATCAGTTCCGCCATGCATGTATATTGTATAAATGCAGTAAAGCTATACCAGATAAATATGAAATCCCAAGTGCCAATCTGTTAAAGATGTATCTTCCGTTGACATCCGTGCCAACTTTTCAGATATGTCTGGATGTGATGAGCCATGCCCTACATCCTTATCTTCCTGCCTGAAAAGTGATATAACCAGCCATATAGACCATTTGAAGTTGTGTGTAACTCAAAAATGGAAGGAAATATTAGAAGGGAAGACAAAAAGCATTGTACATATTGTGGAAGTTCCACAAATACGGTCAAAGCTAAGTTTCTAACAAAGGAGTATCTTCAGTCTCTACCTCCTAATGAAAAACTCGCCATGCTGATCTTGAAGAATCCCGTACACCACCCACGCTGCAAGCTGGTTGTACATGACCTGATGTGCATGCCAAAGAAGCCTACGCTACCAACACAGAGAAATAAACGCATCAATAATTGATCAGCTAACGATCCATTTTCCACTAAGACACAAAAAACAGTTACTGACAGTTATTCTCAAGGAGGCATATACCTTTGAATGCACGTCTGCAACTCGGGAACCCCACAATGGCATCTTTTGTGCAAAAGGTTAAGAAGCTTACCACCGCGAATGTCATCCCGCTCAATCTCCAGAACGAGCTCATACAACGGCGGCAAAAGCACAAAAAACTAACAAAACCCAATTGATCATAAGAAAACACAAACAAATATTGCCATCAACAAACAATGTAGCAGCATACAAATTCAAAAATTCAACCTTGTTGAGTCCTTGAGTGACGGTTGCCAGTATGGGGACGGAGTCCGCCAACAGTTTCTGCTCAATGTGGAGCACGGCGGACCGATAAACGGACAGTATCTCCACAATGCCATTGGCAATGGCCCTCCGGTAAACACTAGGCTTTTCGGTATCGGACGCCGCAGGACTGGCATTTGCAGACCTAATCCAGCTCAAATTCCGGCACCTGACGGAGAAGCGGTCGAGCTCCCTGTAGTAAAACCCTAATGTGATGATCTTCTCTATCAGATCCCTGCAAAAAGTTAAGCAGAAAATGATGGGTGTGAAATTGGAATATGGGAAAGTTGGAGGGGTTCAGGTGAAATATATTTGGGGGTGTATGTACCTTTCGCTGGGTTGGATGAAAGAGATGTCGGAAGCGAGCTTGAAAGTCGGCGAGGAGGAAATCGGAGCGTCGATTCCAAGCGACTTGGAGTGCTCTCTGTCGTCGATTATCAGATCGCCGGTGTAGCCCAGCAGCGCGAGGAGCAACTCGTGCAGCATTGTTGCTTCTGCTTCCACTGTGAATTCGAATTGAGCGATTGGTGGTTGGACTCGGACACTGGGCAGCGGGAAGATGGAGACGCATGAAACGGCGCCGTTCGCCGGCTAGTTTGGCGGGTTTGTGGGAACCGGCCGTATTTTACTTGATTGAAAAGACGAGGGAGGGCTTTTGGATTTTCAACCATTTTAAGCGGGTTTATTAGGATTTTAATTTTTACTTCTTTCGAAAACAATAAAGTGATGAAAAAAACAATAAAAACTTATTTGTACAAAATTACTTTAATATCCTTTTTTCCCTTTTTCCTTAACATCTTTTTTCATTTTTGTATCAAATAGTATTAGTTTTTTTGTTGACAAATAATATTTTATTAATATGTAATTTAGATATTTTTATTAAATCTATTTACTAAGAGAGGTTCGAAATTGTTAACGAAAACACTTCCCTGACCAACCGTTTACTTTAAATTTGAATTCAAGAAAAATAAATTAATGAAAACATGTAAAAACTAACCGATTGCTTATACGGAGAAAGATACAAGTGATGGATTTATTTTTAAGAAAACTAACGAAAAGTTTAAAAAAAATTTTTAATGAAAAATGACAAATAAATATGTAGTGAATAGTACCAACGACAGGTAAAAATGTGATTTTTTATTAAAAGTGAAGTACCAGAAGTATTTCGTTAAAACTCTCTTTATTTTATCTTCTTGGGATTTGGATCCTCTTCGAGGCAACTGGTCGGGATCCTCCTGACCAGTGTTCGTGGACCGTTAAATTTTTATCCAACGATTACAATCATTATAACTTTTAGAGGACCTATATTTGTAGCCGTTGGATAAAAATCCAACAGTCCACAAACACTGTTCAGAAGGATCCGACCAATTGCCTCGAAGAGGATCCAAATCCTTCTTGTAGTCGCAAGGGCACCCCAACCCAACCCACAGGGGTAGCAAGCTACAACGACTAACGTGTTTTAACTTAAACAAGAACAACATACTATTTGCATAACAGGGAGAAAAGAAAAGCTAATGAAAATGATTTGAAAACTTTGAGTTTTAACAATAATGACAAAATAAAATGTAAAATGAATAGTACCAGAATTAACTTTTAGTGTAAAAATGTAATTTTTCGTTAAAATAAACAGTACCGAGAACTTTTCGTTAAAGTTCCCAAGGATAAAAGATACAAAAATTATGGCAACTAAATTTCAACCGGCACGTATAGCTTTAAGTTTCCCTGTTCAATCTGTCTTCTCTTCTCATTCTTTCATCTTCCACGACATAGAAAATTGATGACGCTTACGCCATGGAAAGAATGGAACTGGAAAAACAATGTACCCGAAAATAGTTTTGCATTATTCAACTCTTGAGCTTAGTCTTCACCTTTGTCACAATTTTGTCGCTGCCACTTTTACTATTATTACTCTTATTACTCTGATTCCTCTTTTTCTGTTTCTTTCCAATCTGTTTGTGATCCTCTACTTTTCCTTGAGGATTCACCTCCTCAAACTCGACCGGTCTTATAATTACACCAGGTCTCTTCATCACCTGCACACAATTGCATTGAAGGTAAGGAATGAGAATCGTCATAGCATCCAACAACGGGCTTAAGGAAACAAAAGACAGATGAAATGTGGTATTGCATAACTTCATCATTGGATGCAACCTCAAGGATATCCTTATGGAATAGTAAAAGATGTAAAAGAGTTACAATTCACTACAATAATTGTCGATCTCCAGAAGAACTGTAGCGAGGCACTTACTTCAGGCCGATTAAGAGCTCCAACCGCACTTGCAGGGTTGAATTCAGGACCCAGGGGCATGCGAATGCTCTGTTCAAAAACTTCTTTGGATGTGAAAGGGTAAGGTAATGTTTTTGTAAAAAGTTTCTCCGCCTGTCAAATTCAAATACAAACAACCAGTTAAGCACCAAAAACAAGCAGAATCGAAGACACTCGACCATTAACCATTGCTCTCTGTCTACTAATTCCTATTATTCAATGTTTCCTGTGAATTCAAACATTAATTTCTATGGGATATCACCAATATAATGAAAAGTGAATGCTGCTAGGAAAAACTCCGAACCTTTTTATCCAACTTTTCAGAGATAATAACACGTTTAAGATGGGCATCCTTCCTCTTTTTAAGGGTTTCTTCTCTCTTCTTCTTGGCATCTTCGTGTTCTTTTTGCATCCAAGAAGGTAAGCCTTTCTTTTTCTGTACATGAGTCCACTGACCCCAGCCAGGGAGTAAAGTAGGCTTTTCAGGTTCAGGATTTTCCTCATTCAGAACTTCCTGTTTCTCCTTCTCAAATTCATCCTCCACATCATCCGCCGCAAAGGCTTGACGAATTAGCTCAACTTGAGAAGGAAGGCTGTATTCATTTTTTGGATTTGAAGAAAGAATGCCATCTACCATCTGCCCCTCGCTATCTGCATCACTATCCTCATCCAAATCCACCACAGGTTCCTGTAATAGGAACGTGTTTAAAGAGTTAAGCAGGGCAATCAACCATAAATGTAGGATATCTAAATTTTATAAATGCAAAGTCATACTTGCAAATTTTGATTGCGCTCAACTGATTCCACGGGACGAGTAGACTTTTTACCATTTGCATCCGCACTATTGCTACTTTTTATCTGAATACATCACACAAATACTGGTAATTACCAAAAAGCCCCCAGGGGGGTGGTGGGGGAGGGGAGTTAGGGGGAAGTGCGCATATTCATCAATGAAAGACAAAAACTAACCTTTTTCCATGAGCCTGAAGCAAAAATAGAAACCTCATGTGTTGTCCTTGGACCTGGCTCTTGAACAATATCACTGAAGTTCTGTTGTAAACAACACAACATAGCAGATTTCATGCTCATGGATGAAAAGAGGGGTGTTCAAGGACAGGCAAAATTAAGAAGCCTCATTACCTTGAAAAGAGAATCTTTATGATTTTGAGAATCTTCATGAAGAAACGCAGAACTAATGTTGACATCCTTGTGAAAATCACTACTTCTGTCATTCTCGACATCAACATTTTCTTCGGGCTCCAAGTCATCTTCACTATCACTGTTAGCATAATAATTATCTGTTCTCATTTTATTGTCTGTTTTGGTCTTATTACTTGATTCTGGAGCCTTCTTTTTAGATCCATTGAAGACCATTCTACCACTTGGAGGGCCCACATTCAGATTATCTGCCCCACTTGAATCCTCCAACGGGTTTGACCATGATTCGTACTCTTCAAGAGCAAGTTTAGCTTCTTCAGCAGCTGCCTCATTCCTTTTTTTCAATCCACGCACCTATGTCAAAACAAACCAGGAAGATATTTTAATTTACACACATAAAAGCATCCAACTAACAGGCCTTTGTTCTGTGATAGTTGTAAATTGCTACTAGATTTTTTAATATTCTGAAACTAGTAAGAAAATCCAAAGCTTTACCATGAAAGGTAATGAAAGCACTCCTGAGTTAGGCACTTCATCTTCATCATCATCTTTTAGTACATTACGTGTCTTCTCCTTTGCTTTTTCTAACAACTTCGCTGCCCTAGCATGGCCTGAACCAGGTGAATATACATCTATATCATCCTCATCACTACTGTCATCACTGCTGCTGCTGCTGCTACCATCTTTCATTGAATTCATTTTTCTTGTCAGCTGAGCATGCAGGTGCTGCTGTTCAGCTATAGCAGCCCGAGTACCTTCATCTTGGACATCTATACCACGCTCTTTGATGCGCTTTGTCCACTTGGAGGTACCTTTATGCCTCAGAGTCATTCTTTCCTGGAACAAGTTGAAAAGGGCCAAAAAGTTAACACATGCCTTGTTGCTTCAATAATCAAACATGTTTCTTGAGGAAGTAATTCATTAAAGACACAATACAAATAATCTACCACCTATACATGGGGAAAAAGCAACCACCTTTGCTCGTTCATACTCTTGCTTCATTGCAAGTTCTTTAGCAGCGTCTGGATCCATTTGACCTTGTGCAGATGTTGCTTTCAATCTATCTTTCTTCAACAAACGATGATAAGTTTTGGATTTGATCTTTTTTATGTGCTTTGACTTCATTTCATGACGGAAGAGAAGGCTGCGCATTTTGGCCATTCGATTATGGCGGTCTCTTTCATCTTCAGCAGATACCTGCCAAGCAAACAAGAACAAGACACGTTCAAGGAATTTATATTTAGGTTGGTGCAAGCAGAGACTAGTTCATTTTCAATAGAGATCGTAAAAGACCAAAAAGTAAAAAATAGTCACATAAACATGAGAAATTATGGACAACCATACAGAGGATACAAAAAGCTGAAAAGTAAATTAACACCAATCGTAGTTATAATCTAGGACGAACAAGGTGCCACTTCGTTACCGACCAAGTTAACATGAAGGTTTTATCAACTATCACAATCTCATTTAAATCATCTCATAGAGCTTTAGTGTCAAGTCAACAGTTGCCAGATGAATTAGCAACTGTGAAAACAATAGGTGACACTAAGTTTCCAAAAATTATCTTATAAAACAATAAATTCAATCAAGCGTACTCGCCTGTGAGATACATACCTTATTTAATTCAAGAAGCCTTGAACCGTCCTTTAGGTGAGCATCTTTAACCTGCTCATCATAAACTAATGAAGCAATTTTCTTCTCAAATTCAGTTCTAGGTTTGAAATCAGATGCCCTTGAAGATCGTAAATCCATATCATCATCAAAATATATGGTAGGCGCCTCCCTGTTCCTCTTAATGATTGGTTCCCACTTTCGCAGTTCTTCCTTTGATTTTTCATGTGCTGCCATCCTCTCCAATTTCTCTTGGTCTGCTTTTGGAAGTGGAGCTGGAGTAGGAACGGATTTCTTTTCAAGATGATGTATTCTCTTTCTCAGTTTGCTATAACCAGATTTTCCGTGGAGAGGATTCAGAAGGTCTTCAATACTAACGGGCCCTTCACCATCCAAAGTATCACGAGTAGGGTTATACTCAGACTCGGGATATGCCTCTGATACAACAACATTGGTATTCCTCCTCTTCTTCCCTGACAAAGACATTATATTCACAGGCAGTCAAGTCACTAACAAATATCCTCAAGTCATGGGTAGTTAACTCTGAATGCATAATCGAAGATTTTAAACAATTCCCGTCTTCGAAATTGCATCCATTTAGTTCTAAACCATAAACACAATGTAAATTTGGCTGTAAAGTATAAGCATTGTCTTACCTTCAAAAGCCAGAATTCGTGTGATTCCTTGCCTTCCATCATCATCATCATCATCATCATCATCTTCACCCCCACCCTCTCCAGCGTCCCCCATGTCATTGTCATCATCATCAGATGACACATTTTCATCCTACAATGAATATAGACAGTATCAATGACAGAAATTCGAGAAAACCGAGCTCAAATTCTTGTTATTATACAACGCAAGAACAAGCTCTGCAAAGTAAGATACATCCTCGTCTTCGAAGAACACATTTTCGTCCTGTCGTAAAATTATAAATACAGATAGTATTGATAACAGAAATTCAAGAGAAAATAGCACAAATTCATGGTACTATGCAAATCAAGAACAATCACTACAAAGCAAAATATTACAAAAACACACAAATACACGAATGAGACATTGTAATCCAATAGTAGCGAACCTCAAATTCTTCAGGAAGCTGGTACTCGAGGTTCTCGACCGGGTCGAACCGGCGGTTCTTCCTTTTCTCCTCCTCCGGTAGCTCCTCTTCGTACTCGTAAAAGTCCCGGCCATAAACCTCCGCCTCATCGGAATCAATCTCTTCATCTTCGATAGGGTTTAAGCGTTCGACCTCCTTTCGGAGAACGTTGGGCAAACGAGGGCCTTTTCTATCTCTTGCATCGGCGCCTTTCTGCTTCTTGCCGCCGGGCTTGCCTCTCTTTCCCTTTGCCTTGTCTCCGCCGCCACCGTCCCTGGATTTTCGCTTCGTCTGCGCCATGTCGTCGGTGTGAAGAAAGGAAGGCGCGGTTTCGGGCGGCGAATTTGCAGCCTATTTGTGCAGACGGTGAGCACTGAGGACTGGGCAAACCTATTACTTGGGAACAGACCTCCGATAAATTTAAAAATAAAAAATAAAAGTAAAAGAAGAAAATGAAAATTTGACCCGTGGGCCTTGACCACTAAACTTTATCCCATCAAGAGCAAGTGCACCCCTAAAAATTTTGTGCCAGCACCCAGCGCATTTATTCACTCGAGTGAACAGTAATCGACCCAGCGTAATAGGCCAAAGCATCTCCACCCCTAACAAAAAATAGCCTAGTCCATTTTATTAAAATATTATTATTATTTATTATAAAATAATAATTTTATTTTTAATTTCTGAATTTATAAAAAATAAAATAATAATAATAATATCTAAATTTATTAAAAAATTTATATATTTTTTAAAAGTGAAATTCTTAATTTTTTGGGGGAAAAAACGTGGACCGTTGATCTGTGATCGGACGGTCCAGTTTAAAAGTAAAATTTAATTTTTTTTTACCGTTGGAAATCCAACAGCTATGAGCATGCCACGTCACTAATGGGGCTCCGGAGCACAAGTGGGCTGACAGCCCTTTGCAACCTTGTCACCTACTCGCGCCCACGCGCGATTGTCGTGCACGCGCCAGCCAAATAGGGCGGCTTCTTGCTCAGTCAAATTTGGGCTGGCCTGGAGACTAGCTTGGGCTGCGTCCCAGGCAAAAGGGTCGGCTGGAGTGGATTGACAGGCTTCCAGCCTGATTTTTGTACTTTGTGCTGGGCAAATTCCACTCCGGTGGACTTGCTCTAAGTGGCGTTGGCTGTATAAATTTTAGAACATCATTGCGTTCAGTTTTGCGCTAAGTCCTCCTTAACTCTAATGTTTTGCACCAAGTCTCTAGAATCAACAAAAATAATTAAAGTATTAAACATCGTGTGTGTATAAAGTTGAAAGAGAGTGTGTATTTCATTTTCCAGGCGCTAGGCTCCAGCCCACCGTCCGATTAGCTCTAATGTCTTTTAAAACCTTGAATTAAACATCGTGTGTGTATAAAGTTGAAAGAGAGTGTGTATTTCATTTTCCATCACTTGAATTGCATTTCACAATGTGAGCACTTGAAAATTTCACACTGTACAGCAAAAACAAACGCAGTATATGTTTTGGACCATCTTTGTGTATTGGGCCTTCATGGGCCTTAATCAACTGCAATTTAAACTGTCATGAGAATCGAAGCCTGGCCCATGACCCGGAAAGACTCATTGCCATCTTTATAAAATCCAAAAACCCTAGCACACCAGTCCTTACTGCCGCGTGAGAGCGAGAAAGAAGAACATCCGGCGATTTCATCAGGTTCTCCCTCTACTTTCTCTTTCCCTATCTATCTTTCTGTAGAAATCTATCACTATTTCTGTCTCGATTCAGTGTTATTTTCGTTTCGATGTGTTTTTGGGTCTCCATACGAAGATCCAGGTGTTTTAATTTGCAAATATTTAGGGTTTATTGTTTCTGCAATCTTGTGTATTTTCCTTAATTTTGGTTTTGTATCGGTTAGGTCACTGAGTTCTTATCAATATATTGATTGAACTGGAAAATAATTTTATGTTGGAATCTGCTTCTGCTGGAAAATGTATTACATTTTCTGAAAATTTTGTTTTGTTTTGTTTTTTTTTTTTTTTTTTAATATTCTGAGCTTTTTGCGTAAATTGTGCATTTGGATTTCTTGGTGAAGTTGCAAAATGAAAATTACATATTTTGTTCCCATGGATGTTGTTTCTGAATTATGCGATTCGATTGCGTTATAGGTAAGCCATGGTGAAGCACAACAACGTTATTCCGAGCTCTCACTTCAGGAAGCATTGGCAGAACTATGTCAAGACCTGGTTCAACCAACCTGCTAGGAAGACCCGCAGAAGAACTGGTGAGTGGCAGTATGTTTTTGTCAAGTATAACACGAAAGTCGAGTCTGCTGAACTTTGTGAACTGTAATTTGTAGTATGACTGACTTTGAGTGTTCTGAAATTTCATCAGCCCGACAGAAGAAGGCCGTGAAGATCTTCCCCCGTCCAACCACTGGTCCACTCCGTCCCATTGTTCATGGACAGACATTGAAGTATAACATGAAAGTGAGGGCTGGCAGGGGCTTTACTCTGGAGGAGTTGAAGGTCAGTCGGTTGATTTTACGACAATGCTATAACTTTGTGGAACTAGTGTTATTTCTTATAGGTAGCTGATATATTGCTTATAATATGGATGTGTTGATTTTGGTATGCATGTGTTAACGTGAACTGCTTCATTTTGTTCTTTTGTTTTTTTCCCGTGTCAATTATGAAAACCAGAAGTTTAAACATATCTGGCGTGTATTACATTAGAGGAATGATTTTCTTTGGTTTATTCAATCCAATGGCTAGAAATTGATAGGTGAGCTTAGGAGAAGGTGTATGGAGATCACTTCCCTTACATTAGTTTTTTTTTTTCAAGTTAAATACAAAAGGTATTATTTGAGTATATGAATTACAGATTGTTCCTTTTTAAACAATTCAGTTCCATTGGATTATTCAAGAATGCATGCTATAAATATGGTCTAAAAATAGGCATTCGCAAGTTAACTTTATGTTGGTTTATTTTGCTTAAGATTTCAACGAATGCATTTTTATATGATGGTTTTAACAATTTGTTTACCTTTCTTGCTTATCAGTCTGCTGGGATTCCAAAGAAACTTGCACCAACCATTGGAATTTCAGTTGATCATCGCAGGAAGAACCGTTCTCTTGAGGGACTTCAAGCTAATGTGCAGCGCCTGAAGACATACAAGGCCAAATTAGTGGTCTTCCCAAGACGCGCTAAGCAGTTCAAGGTGATGTTAAGTGGTTGATGTAGATTAATTGAAAGCTGTTTTTCTGTGTACATGGTATCTTATCTACATGTGTGTATTTGTTTTTTGTTACAGGCCGGCGATTCTCCTGCAGAGGAGCTTGCCAATGCCACCCAGCTCCACGCCCCCTACCTTCCAATTGCACGCGAGAAGCCTACAGTTGAGCTTGTGAAGGTTACCGATGAGTTGAAGTCGTTCAAGGCATATGACAAACTCCGTGTGGAGAGGATGAACAAACGCCATGTTGGTGCCAGGCTTAAGAAGGCAGCTGAGGCCGAAAAGGAAGAAAAGAAATAGAGAACTTTTACCCTTTAACGAGCCACTAGAATCGTCATCTGTTCTGGAAGGAGTTTTGTTTCAGTTGATTACCTGTTTTCTGAACTTTTTACTTGGATCCTTTAATGTTAGATTTTGTAATGTCACTTGAGTTGGTGGAATTTAAAGAGTTTATGCTTTGTGTTTATGTGCTCGGTTCTTATTGTCGGATTTGGCCTTCTGATTGCACTTGTTTTGGATTTTGATATCTTGAATGCATTAGTCTGAATATGTACTGAATATATGTCGTTTTAATGCATTTTAAGTGATTTTTGGATGGAGAATGACTTATAACGAACAAGTTTAGGTATTTTCGGCGTTCTGTTTGAATAATGTCACGCGTAAAAATATTTAAATATGACATTATATAACTCACGTTTTCAAAACGATTCTGGGAATTTTTGCATGATTCATTACAAGCTAAATGACTCGCCCTCACATGTTTTTTAACAATATTAGTTTAGGAGAGAAGATTTTTTTACTCATAAAATATATTTGGGGGGCCGTTATTAGTATATCTTATTTTTTCTTATTTTTCAACTTTAAAATTAATAGAAAATAGTTTCGTGATCTAATAAATTGTAAAATTATATCAAAACATTTTCTTAGTTCCCACGCAAAAAAAATTTCTAAAACTAAAAATTTTATTTAATTTTTTTCACAAAAAGTGTGAGTTATAAGTTATGACCCATGTTTTGATAACAATTTTAGTAATTTTTATAAGATTCATCATAACGATTTTAAAATTAGTAGTCCATTGGGAATTTGTTTATTTCAGAGAATAGAGGAGGGCTTTGGTGGTTGGTTGATTGATATGGCGAAAAAAATAGAAAAGGACAGCTTTGAGTTGCTTTTGGTGTTGGTGTGGAGCGTATGGAAGGCTCGTAACGAATTTATTTGGAAAGGTGTGGATGTTTCCCCAGTGGATGTGCAACTTAAAGCCCAATCTTGGTTGACGGAATTTAAGAAATGGAATGAGGTTCAATCACCTCCACCAACGGTTTGTGTTCACAAGTGGAAACATCCGGAGTTTGGATGGATAAAGTGTAACTTTGATGCGGCTTGGGAGGAGAATGGTTTGTATGGGGGTATAGGAATTGTGGTTCGAAACGCCACAGGAGGTTTTATAGCTGCAATGGCTTCGCGGGAGACTGGTATCACTTCGGCTCTGCATGCAGAGGCAGTTGCTGCACGCAGTGCAACGTTGTTTGCTCGGCATTGGTGTGAACAACTGGTGCAGGTGGAAGGCGATGCTTTAATGGTGGTTTCCGCTATACAGAGTGCGGGAACATCTTTCTTGGGTCACTTTGGTCATTTGTTTGCTGATACCAGGCGCATCTTGCAAGAATTCAAGCAATGGAAGTTTCTTTCGACCCAAGGGAGACGAATAAAGTGGCTCATCGGCTAGCAAGGTGGAGTCTAACGGTTAATCATCACATTTCTTGGTTTGAAGAACCCCCTGATATTATATCTGATTTATTATTGGAGGATAGTCTTTCTTGTTAATTTGGTGCGGGACACTCTTTTTTCCTTCGATCAGGTTGAAAGCCCCGGCAAGGTTTTTATTGAGGCCCATTGTTAGCACCCTATCCTTGAATTGTACGTTTTATCTTCATTTCAATGAATATCGTACTTGCTTCAAAAAAAAAAAAAATTGGAGTCATTCTCGTTCATGTTTCCTCAAATTAGTTTAGAACGTTCCAAAGATTTCGACACATAAAAATATATTTGGGGGGCCCTCTATTCGTTTATATTATTTCTCATAAAATATATTTGGGGATTAGTTTATATAATTATTTCTACTTTTCAACTTAAAAAATTAATAAAAATAGTTGTGGGATCTAACAAATTGTAGAATCACATCCAAAGGTCTTGCAACATTTTCGTTAGTCCCACGAAAAGTATTTCCTAAAAATAAATTTTTTTATTTTTCACAGAAACTGTGAGCTATAACCCACATTTTAAAAGTGATTTTGGGAATTTTACAAGATTCATTATAGCCAAAATTCGAGTCATTCTCGTCGCGCCACATGTTTCGTGAAATTGTTCAAGAAATTTTAAAGATTTTAGACAAATAAAAATTTATTTGGTGGATGCTCTGTTTGTTTATTTTATTTTTCTACTTTTCAAATTTAAAAATTAGTAGAAATTAGATTTAGGATCTCATAAATTGAAGAATCACGGCAAAAAGTCTTGCAACATTTTCCTTAGCTCCATAAAAGTATTTCCCAAGACTAAAAATTTCAATATTTTCACAAAAATCGTGAGTTATAACCCACATTTTAAAAGTGATTTTGGAAATTTTTACAACATTCATTATAAGCCAAAATTCTAGTCACCGTTGTCGCATCGCATGTTTCTTGAAATTAGTTTAGGACATTCCTAAGATTTTCGACACATAAAAATATATTTGGTGGACCCTCTATTATTTTTTTTTATTTTTCAACTTTAAAAACCAACAAAATTAGTTTCCAGACCGCAACATTTTCCTTAGCTCCCACGCAAAAATTTCTTAAAATTAAAAGTTTCAATTTTTTCCCCCTCATGTTTTCAAATAGATTTTGTAATTTTTACAAAGTTCATTATAAGACAAACTTTTAGTCATTATCATCGCACCACATGTTTGTTGATATTAGTTTAGGACATTTTGGTTTCAACACTTTAAAAATAAAAAATATATTTGGGGAGCACCTTATTTTTTTTCCGAAAGATAGGAATTTTATTGAACTTTAAATACAAATTGTTCCATGTACATCTTCTACTAAAATATTAAAAAGAAACTCTGGTTCTAACTCATCCCAGCCAAATCTCCCGCCATGCTTAACAACGTACACCGTTATCAAAAGGGCTGCACGATTACAATGACGAGGGGTAAGGCGGCACCTCACCAACAGAAATAAGCTTCCCATTCTCCAAATATTTTGGAGGTAAATCTCAAGAGTCGCATCAACTGCAATCTCCTTATTGATCATCTGAATCAATCCCTTGGAATCCAATTCAACCACCAACCTAGAACTATCCCCCATATTGCTCCCCACAATTGCCTCTAATCCCTATCGGACTGCCTCCGTCTTCGCCATAATTGTATCCCCAAACCGTCCCCCTCCTTCCCCTCCCACAAGCTTTGGAAGTCCTGCAAAATCCCGAAGCACCCACCCAACCCCTCCCTCATTCGTATCTTCCTTCCATGCCGCATCATAGGTCAATTTCAGCTCTCCAAATGCCGGTTTTTGCCATCACCTCACTCCCTCCCCAATCCCCGTCCCCATCTATTGCCTATCCCCAATTCCCGTGCCCTCCTAAGTCCCCACCCCTGACATCCTAGCCTCTATGTATTCCCCTCCCTCCCCCCACCGTGTCCCCCAAAGTATCCCTAAATTCTACCAATTGCCGCTGCCATAACTCAACAGCCACAAGTGGTAAAATCTGTACCCCTTTGAAGTCCTGCAAAATCCCGAAGCACCCACCCAACCCTCCCTCATTCGTATCTTCCTTCCATGCCGCATCATAGTTCAATTTCAGCTCTCCAAATGCCGGTTTTTGCCAGCACCTCACTCCCTCCCCAATCCCCGTCCCCATCTGTTGCCTATCCCCAATTCCCGTGCCCTCCTAAGTCCCCACCCCTGACATCCTAGCCTCTCTGTATTCCCCTCCCTCCCCCACCATGTCCCCCAAAGTATCTCTAAATTCTACCAATTGCCGCTGCCATAACTCAACAGCCACAAGTGGTAAAATCTGTACCCCTTCGAAGATCACCTCATTCCTACATTTTCAAATACGCCAAAATCCAAACACCACCTGCTGCAACATCACCTCGGCATCCACCTCCTTCTCCAAACGTTGCATAATCCACTGCCATCCGTCTATGAACTCATTGACCCCATCACCATCATATTAATTTGTAATGACGTCCCAAACCAAAATGCACAACTAAAATCACAAGCAAAGAAAATACGAGTCTTTGTTTCGTCACCCGTTCCGCACAAATCACATTTATTCACCACATTAATCCGTCGACACTCCAAGTTGTGCCTAATTGCCAAAGCCTTTCTACAAGCCTTCCAAATAAAGAAACGGAGTTTATTTGGCACTGTAAGAGACCAAATCCTCTTCTAAATCCCTCCCAGTGTACCGGAAGAGCTCGACATCCCACTTCCTTTTCTTCCAAGTCACCATTCTTCATCATATCCATCACAACGTAATATCCCAACCTTACCGAATACAACCCATTCTTTGTATAATGCCAAATTTGTTTGTCCTCACACCCAAGTCTACTAATCGGTATAGTTCGAATCAAATCCAAATCATCTGGAGACACCAATGCCGCAACCTCCTCCAATGTCACATCCCAGTCCTAGCTCCACCGTAGCACGATATTGTCCGCTTTTTGGCCCCTTCACGCCCTCATGATTTTGTTTCTGGGAACTCATACGAGAACTTCCTAGTAGGTCACCCATCTTGAGAATGCTCTCGCTCGAACTCGCTTAACTTCGGAATTCTGATGTAACCCGAAGCCAGTGAGTTCCTAAAAGATCTCGTGCTATATGAAGGTGGGCATACACATATAAGACACATCACCCCTTCTCCGTTAGTCGATGTGGGAGGTTACATCCAATCTCTACCCCTGCCTATCCGCCCTAATCAACTCGGACACCTTAAGATCTGGAGCCCAAGGATCCGCCACCCTAACCAACTCCTCATTCCCCACCCTCCACCGTAGACCTTGGTTCAAAATTTGTCTCCCCTACAAAATACCTTTCCACCCCTAGGATAACTTATTTTGCCTACCCGCCTCCAAAAAAGATGTGTTGGGAAAGTATTTATCCTTTAACACCTTGCTAAGCATCGACTCCAGCTTCCTTAACACCCTCCAACTAATTTTAGCAAGCATGGCCACATTAAAACCCATGAGATCTCTAAAGCCCAATCCTCCAACCTTCTTACTCTCAGTCAATTTATCCCACGCTACCCAGTGACAAAAGCTAGTCTTTGATTGACTATTTGGGGAGCACTTTATTAGTTCATATGATTTTTAACGTTTCAACTTTAAAAATCAATGAAAAATAGTTTTGGGACCACATAAATGGTAGGAACACATCCAAATGTTTTACAATATTTTCTTTAGCTCCCACGCAAAATATTTTTTAAACTAAAAATTTAATTTTTTTTTTTCACAAAAACTGTGAGTTACCTGCGTTTTCAAAGCGATTTTGAAAATTTTTACAAGATTTATTATAAGTCAAAATTCTAGTCATTCTCGTCGCACCACATGCTTCCTGAAATTAGTTTAGGATATTCCAAATATTCTCGACAGACAAATTTGGGGGGCCTCCATTAGTTTAAAAATAAACAAAAATATTTTTAGGACCACATAAATGGTAAGATTACATACAAAGATCTGTCAACATTTTCCTTAGATTCCCGTAAAATATTTCCTAAAACTAAAAATTTTAATTTTTTCCACAAAATCTGGGAGATATAACTAACGTTATCAAAGTGATTTTGAGAATTTTACAAGATTCATTATGTGAGTTTAGAAAATGTCGGAAACATATCTCAACATGTTGGATTTTTTTGGAGTTAAACTCACCTTGATATTCACTTTGTTTTTTTAGGTTACATTGGAGGGTTTCGAAACTAGACCAAGCCTATTTCTACATTTACTTTTATATAAGTTATTCCATGCGTTGTAATTAATATCAAACTCACTTTCATCTAAGTCATTTTGACAGTGGTAAATAACAATGCATCATGTCAATGTCCATGTCGTCTTCCTTCATGAAAACCTCCATTTTTGACGGTGCTTATTACAAATCTTTACATGCAACGATCATGTCAATGGCAGTAGACCCTTATTTCTTCGTATGGTAGCCTTTCTTCATGGAGACATTCACTAGGTATCAAACAAAATGCTAGAAAGATCCCAAATTATTTATGATTCAATCCCATCCTAATGAGGTAATAAGGTGAAATCCATCTTAAACAAGCAAAGTTTTAGTTTATGTTCCAACGAAAGAGGAGAACACCAACCTCTCTTGTTTTCTTATTCCACAATACCTGGCCTATACAACCTGTATAAATTCTAATTAGTCAATCTTTTACATTAGTCCTTGTATAAGTACATAACTTTATAGTATAAATACATCAAAATAACATGAACCCGTCACAAAAGTTGAATTATATCTACAAACATCACGCGGTGTAAATTTGTTTGAACAAATAGAATTTATTCCAATCGTAAAGATTATCACTTGAATTGCATTTCACATTGAAAATCACTTGAAATTTTAAAAAACGTCTGGGACATCTTTCTTTATTCTTTGAAGTGCTCAAGAATCTTACAATTTACTGGTAGGTTTACGAAGTCACAGTGCAGATTAATAAGCTAGGGTCCAGAAAGTTGAGTACCAGTAGAAAAGTAAATGAAAAATGAAAAGAAGAGAGGGAAAAAAAAAAGACAATTGAATTGCATGGAGCATACGCGCATGCATTCGATAATAAAAAAATGCATGCATGCCCGATAAAGAAAAAGTAAAACCCATTAAGTACTCACACAAATTTTATAAACACCTGCGGAACTTGGGAGCAAATAAATTACGGCATAAGAAAGAGTAGAATATATGTAACAATTGTTTGAGTGGTTGCGGATATTACCTGCACTGTAACAGCGGGAGATCAAGAACTTGCATGGATGTCTGAACTCTGAGTTAGAGAGAGAGAGAGAGAGAGAGAGACAATAGGTGAGGAACCCGTGTTGGAGAGGGGGAGCACGTGCAAAGAACTTATTCGCTCGCATTTGAAGCATAGCCAATGGGGTTTGCACGTGCCCTGCTTCTCCAACAAGGAGTCTCACCCGTTTCAAGCCTTAGCTACTACAATGGAACTCTACTCACTCACTGGAATTGGATGAAGGAAGGAAGAAGAAGCATACGTATTTATAGCTGCAAATGGGGAGAGAGAGAGAGAGAGAGAGAGAGAGAGAGAGAGAGAGGGTTTAGATCGTGTCATCATGGTAAGAGATGAAGGAAGGAGGTATGGCAGAGGAGTAATTAAGATGAAGGTACTGCAGTGCATGGCAGTGAGGAAAACTCTGTCGAGCCACGCCATGCCATGATGTTAAGATTGTACGTGAAGATAATAATAAAATTTCAAAATAGAGATATCTGAGGAGAGACCAAAAGTGAGTCCTGTCTGCCTTTTTTCACAAAATCCGTACATGCAATTATTTTGTGTTGTTCCTTGGAGTCTTGGAGGATTCAGTTTCAATGCCCTCACACAAAGAAGACAAACACAAACCTTTAAAAATTCTATCTCTTCCTTCCGAACCTACCAATATTTTTGAGAATATCCAAATATTGTTCAATCTTTTATTGCTAGCTAGGCTTGGAAATCAAGAATCTCGGGCCATGATGTTTTCCAAGGCCTCCTAGATCACAAGAATAACTTATACGATACGCTATTTCGGTAATATTTTAAGTCGATCATATATTATCATATGTTTTAACTTTTTTCACGTGCCACTGTGTAACAAGTTTGAAATAATGTTATAATAACATTCTCGTTGCATAACAATCCTGGATCAATCAAGAATATCAGCCATGATGCTTCCAAGGCTGCCCTAGATTACGAGAAAATCTTATAATTTATGGTTCCGATAATATTTCAAATCAACCACGCACTGTTAGCTTGAATGATATTGTTACAGCAACTTCCTTGTTGCATGAAAGTTCTCATGATCATCTATTGGAATTTGAGTGGGGCCAAGTGGAGGTTAAACTAGCCTTTTCCTTTTGGTTGGGAAGAAATATAGTGCAAGCATGGGAAGAGATGAAATGAATAATGTAAGGAGTGCACGTAGGGCTTTGCGTGTAGGGCTCAACCTTTTGAGTGTGGTATTAATTTTATTTATGTTTTTGTTTGATGAGTTTCTGAAGTAGCCAGCTAGGGTTTCCCTACTCCCTACGTAGATATATGATCATTCCCTATATACGGACTAGGCCTCATGCATCTTTTCCCCTTCCAGAATTTATGCTTCTTTCTTTCATAAATAAGGACCTCAACAATTTCACACCACCTGGTCATGGCAAAGCTCCTTCAAATGTAAGCATTAGCTCATACCGTATCCTTGTATTCTGCAACGTTGCACACCCTGCTACTGCAACAAGCGTGCATTTGTTCAACCCCCTTACCACTCTTTCCTGCGCCACGCCAACATTATCAATCTACAAAATCTTTGATGGTATAACTTAATAGGGTTAGCCAACAACTTAGTGGTGAGCAGTGATGGATTCAAGATTCTAACTTTAGATGGTCCTAATCAATGGACATTAGGCGCTAGTCTAGAAACGGGTCGGGGCCTCCTATGCGCCTAGATGGAGTCTAGGCAAATGCATAGGTAGGTTAAGTGGATTTAAGCAAACTTACTATATATTATACAAGTAAGTGCCTATTTACACTTACAAAAATATATACTTATATTGAGAATTTGAGGTTTATTATTCAATATATAACATACAAAATATCATAATTTTTGCTTTAGTATTTTAATGAATTTGATGGTAAGAGATGAAAGTGATAGGGACTACGAGTTCAGAGTACATTACGAAATACTTTTCAGAAGTCGTATGAATTTATAGAGCATTTTTAAAAGTAACGGTGTCAAACATATGATATAAAAATATTTGTTGAGTGATGCATCATCCGTTTGCTAATTAAAATGCTAGGGTTGCACAACTTGATGGGACAATAATTAAAAAAAAATGAGTGTTGGTCACTTGGGAAATGAGAGAAAATTCTTTCTTCTTCATTGTAACCAAGGTCCAAGAACAATAAAGCCATGGTGGTCTTCTGTTTTCCACTAGGTTTAACGTTCGAAATCCTTCAATGTACAATTTCCAGGATTTTGAGACTCTACATTTAACAATGGTTACGCGCATTAAACACCAATGTTAAATACGGAGGCTGGGATATATATCGGTTACAGCACTGGTTTAGTGCAAAAACCTTGTACCAGTTTTCAAGCTGAACCATCTATATGTCCATTCTTTTCTTTCGTTTTTAATGTTGTGGGGTAAGGTAAACTGACAAAGTTGAATATGTAGAAGTGGACATAGATTTCATTTCGTGACACTACTGTAAAATTCAGTTTCAGTCATGATGTTTATTCACTCTTGCTCTTTTTTGCTTTAGCATCCAGATTATAGTATACAACCGGAGATATATTTATTTATTTTAATCCCTCGCATCACAAGACCTAATTTCTGTTTTAGCAAGATAATTCTATTGTGTAATCACTAACTAGTTATTCATCTCCTTCTGTATCTCTCACCATCGCATATGTTACACTCCAGCATTTCTTGTTTAAGTCCGACGCGGAGGTTTGTTTAAGTAAAAATTGAAATTTGAGGTCACCCTCTAAAACCACAAAATTGTGTTAGAAGAACATAGATTCTGGATGAGGTCATGATGAAATCTTAAGTGTAGGAACATAAATACTTGGCGTGTGTTTGCAGCCAGTGCTTGAAAAATGGGGTGTCGTAGTAAATGCTTTATTTGGTCACACACTCATGTATGTATGTAGGGGATTTGAATGTGAAACTCAATCATGCTTCCTTTCCTTCCTTCCCCAATCCCCATAAACTTCAATTTTTTCCACCATACTTGATTGATATGTTTGACTTGGATTCAAGCACTAAAAAGAACAACACCACAAAAGGTACTTGTGGTGGTCTGGGTAGGTCCATCTTTATTGGGATTTCTTCATTTTTTTATCCATTTCTTTGCTTTAATACCGACTAGCTATTAATCTATTGATATTTCCCTCAATTTTATTAGTATTACAAAATAAGGGTTATGCTAATATTTGGGGCAGAAGTACTCTTAAGGTGGAATTCATGTTTAGAAAGAGTAAAACTATAAGATAAATAGTTGTTTCTTTCTGTTGAAATTAGACGTTCCCATTCTCTGTCACTCAGAATACGATATTAATGCACAATTTTTTCTATTTGTGTTTTCGATGAGTAATATATGCATGTGTTAAAATGTGATTTACAAGGAAAGAATAGAGGAGACAAGTTGAAAAACAAAGATAAATAAATAAAGGCAAAATGTACATGACTACAACACCGATCATATCTAGTTCCATATTGGTAGCGTTTGGTACGCGAACCGGATGGGACGGAACATGTTGGTTGTTCTGTTCTGCGTTTGGTACGCGTTGAACGGAACACAAATGACCGCGGAGCCACAGCCGGAGGTGCAGAGACTGCCCGGGAACGAGTCACATGAAACTGATAAATCCACAAACCAGATAATGAAGCATAATAAACTTAATTGCAAAACCCAATTCAGATTGGATCTTCCTGCATCTGATTCAAGAATCTAAAAAGTGTCTGCATGTAAATTCAAGAACCCAGTTCATAAATCCTCGAACATTTTCATCAAAAACGAAAACCCCCTAAAACCCACGAATCCACATGCCATTTCAACAAAAACCAACAGATCTTATCACAAATATTGATCAATAAACAAAACCCAGATCGCCGACTTCGACTTCTATTCCCTCCGATCGCAGCCCCTGATCGGCCACTGCTTCTCCGGAGACGGTCACGGCGACTCTTCCTCCCTCACTATCTCCGAGTCAACTCATCCAACGGCGGCTAGGGACGCTAGCACCACCAAGCCATTGCTCCGATCGCACGGCCTGAATGAGATTGGACCTTCTAATTCTTCTTCTTGTTCGTCGTCGTCGGCTGCTCTGGTTCGCCTTCTGGTGGTAGAGGAAGGCGTAGGTGCAGAAGTAGTTGGCGTAGGTGCAGACGGAAAGGTTACAATTTCGACCCCATGCCCTCGGATGGAAGCGAGGAGGATGAAGGAGACGAAAATGTTATAATTTTGTGTTCCATGGACGTGGAACAAGTCGTTCCACGGGGAGGCGGAACGAAAAATTATCTAAAACTTGTCCCGTGGAACAATGCGTTCCACTCGTTTTAGACGCACCAAACGTGGGACGGAATGCCTCGTCCCACTCCGTTCCGTTCCGTCCCGCGTACCAAACGCGACCTATATCCAGATGCTAATCATTCTTGAAATTGAACTTAACTTGAACAACGAAGCGCTTCCTGATCTGTTCCACATTGTAAACTATGTACTCATTGTGCCGTAATGAACCCTGCAAGGTGCACGTAAACGAAGATTAATTTACAATGAAGCTGCCTGCCTGGTTCAACAGTTCCAAACCAAATTCACATCCAAAGTAATTCGAAAAAATGATGTATTTCTACCTCGTGGCTTGTATTCTCTTTCTGCTTTCCCAGGGGAACCACGACACCGTCATCTAGTAACTGAGCTTCTGAAAAATCTGGTTCAGTTCCCCCAACTCCTTTAGTGCTGCAATATTATGTTACATGCCAAATTAAGTCATGCAATACACGTCTTAGTTTCGAAAAAAATGGAGATAATGCAACAAGTTTTCGTCAAAAGTTATTTCTCTCACACAATGCAGATAAACTTCTCGGTCTAAAAAAACACAAAGATTATACAGAAGGGAAGATAAACTTCCAATGCAAGATACCAAAAGCATAAATGACCAGAAGAAGCTTCATCACTTAAAACAGTTTAGTTATTACTTAGGATCCAATAAAGAAAACAGAGACGCAAACCTTAGTTTTCCTACGGGTAACTTGTCCGCATCGTAGTTAGCGGTTAAAAGCTCAGCCATGTCGCCCAGCGCAACCTAAATAAACCATAGTTAAAAAGTATTTAGAACATTTAGTGCGAAAAAGTCCCTAGGTATTCAGTTGGGCTTTCAAGTGTAGCAGATCTGCGGTAGGGGAAATTCAAATTTTTAATCCAGAAATATTTTTCTCGTCTCTCTTATAAATCTTGATCTTAATGATATACAATGCATTGAAGGATATATTTGATAATCTGATGCCAAACCACTCTTAACACCAGGTATTGTTGTTTTTAGTATAAAATTTATGTTTTTTACTTGCTGAAACTTGAAAGACTACCTCACATAGAAGCAGCACCCCAGATGTACAGCCATTAGATGCATGGCAATACTTTGCGCTTTTGGAGAACATGTCTGCAAAGTAAACTCCTTTCCCGAACATGTGACCAGTCTCTGGGGCTTCAGGTGGAGCTATGCGCAAGCCTGGGTTGTCACGACACATGTTTAACTAAATTATTAAGCAGTAAAACATTCATACTGTATCTGCACGAGTGTGCACACAGTGACACACACGCAAACACACCCACCCATGATTCGAAGCTAAACCATAAAGGATCACCTTGAGATAATATACCAACCCAGTTTGTAAGACGAGAACCATGCCACAAAAGCATTCTATTTTTTGTACCAGAAAACTGCTCACAAGAGTAAAACACAATTAGAAATTGCTTAAAATAAAAATGTAGGATATTCATGACCAAGAAGGAAATTCCAAGTACTTGTAAAATTATCCAACATTTTATGAAAAGCCTCTCATAGATCAACCTAACCTTCCTGAAGCGTTCAACTTCACCCTCTTTAGATGTGCGGAATATTTGAACGATATCAACAGTGTAAGTTGAATGTCTTTTTGCATGAGTATTACGCATATATTTTTTAATCTGACAACAGCAATAAAATTCACAAGAATCAGCACCAACAGTATAAGTTGAATTAGCTTAATTTTGTTTGTATTTGAATTTCCATTGCTTATAACTCATAGTTACCATATCAAATTCATGAGAATCAGCACCAACTGGTGTCAGCTCACAATGAAGGCTTCGATAACAGGAATACAAGGGATCTCCCTATAATGGTGGCAGAAACATACATTAGTAGGAAGGATAGATACTAGGACATAAGGGCAAGGCCGCAAGTGAAGCATGAGGAACAAGACTAAAAGAGATTTACCTGCATTCCTGTGTCATCCTTCAACAATTTCGTTGTAACCTCAATTTCACCTAGTGCTTCAACCTTCAAGTATAGAAGAGTTAATAAACACACAAATAGCACATGTAGGTGGCACGATACTTATTCAAAGGAAAATAACCTTTGATTTCAGTTTGGAAGTTCTTAGCCGAACTATCCACACATATACATGAAACAAATTACAGAAAGAATTACCATTTCTAGCTTGTGTTTCAACTTCTGAGGAGTATCAATCACAAATTTACCTGCATTACTCATATTTCCAAACCAATTAGATGCCTTCTCTTACAATCACAGAGAGAGAGAGAGAGAGAGAGAGAGAGAGAGAACTCACGCATTTTTTTAAACCTGATGTCATGAGGAATGACAGTGTAGAACTCTCTGCAACAGGATGATGCCCATCAAAAATTGGAATTCCAAAATTATTTAAGGCTCAAGGTACCAAAGGAAGAGAAGAAAAGAGGTAGATATTAGTCAAGCATTTTGTTAAAAGTATTTTAAAGAATTAACATATGAAATCACTCTTTTGTTGGGGTTTTGAAAGAGAGACAGGGGGGGGGGGATAGGCAGGGAGGGAGAGAAACCTTACCCGCTTAATTGTTCGATTAATTCCCTGTTAGATGAGCCAATCACATCAGAAATCCTCCGCAGGATGTTATAGCCCTATATGTTGCAAAAAATAAAATTATTGGTTCGTTGAATCTTCATGGAGAAACGGATTGAAAGAGAAGACACTATACACGAAACTTCAATGTTTTGTACCAAAATTCATACTGAATTGTTTCAAGTTAATTTAGAGAAAGTCCTGACAGAAGTTTTAGGAAATATCCTTTTCAGTTGTTCAGCTTAACCAGTAACTGAAATACAATTATGGAAAATACACGCCCCCTTGCCTTGGAAGCAGCCATTCCTACTTGCAAATCTCAGTTTGACATGCACACAAAACTTTTTCTTTTCTTGCATAGATGTCAAAATGTGATCTAAAGGAGCCAAGCAATTTCCTACAATTAACTTTCAACAATAAAATAACTAGCATGAACTGGAGGAGACTTCACTTCATAGGCCAAAAGCTTACCTTTAGAATTGTTGATTTGCTAAGCTTACCCAGAGGCAACTTATCAGCGTTGTATACTACCAAAGAAGAAGAATGTGTCCAAATAAGGGAAAAAGTACATCAGTTAACTAAACAGAATACACCAAAAGAAACGTTTGAGTCTCCAAATAAAATTATTATTCCGATTTAAGCAAGTGAACAGCTTTAGATTATTATGAGCTGTAATTTGCAATATAATATCTTTTTGACAGTGAATCAGACTAACCTATTTCCATCACATGCTGCTTCATCATGTCGACGTTGAAAATAAGAGATATAAAATTTGCAATGCAGGGCTCAAGTTGTGTTTCCAAAGGTTGACGTCCTAAAGCAGAGCCATTCTTTTCTTCGACCTGATAATCATTATCAAATAGTAAGGAGGAGCAAGCAAGATAATTTTCCTTTTCATTAGGTAAGACATGTCCTCAGTAATTTGCAACCAAGAATCGCTTCAGGGAATAAAGAGTATCTCCAGAATTCAGAAATTTATACAAACATAGACCAAGAGTTGTGGATACTGACAGCTGACTGCTCTTCCTTTTCATTGTAATCCATTTCTATCCACATATAGCAGGATGGGATAAGCTGGAACATTTTTCGATTGGACCAATCATTCCCGGTTTTGTCACGGAATTTCTGTTTAAACTCCTTGATCGCGCTCTCGCGGGATGCGTGAGGAGCTAGCTTGTTCTGACCCTTAAAACCTACTCTCCCCCATCTATAGTAAATCATGAAACTTCCACCAACATCAGATTCTGCATGTTACAAAGAAATAAAATGCGGATGAGTACACATAGCCGGAACTTGTGTAATGCGCCAATGCCATGAGGATCACAACTCAATGGACCAGATGAAACTTTATTTATGTGAAAAAAGCATAAATGATGTTTCTGTAATTTGTTAAACATTATAATCAGTATTAGTTACAAACTGAAATCGTTCTCAACTTCTCAGTGAAATTGTCTATAACTTGATAAGTTTGATTGCTAGAATCACAAGTGTCACCCTAACTCCATCTGCATTGCCATGAATTCAAAATTACGACAATCCAAAGATCTAGTTGACTAATTATTTGTTGAAAGGAGGAAAGGGTTTACCAAGAACTTGAATCACATAGAATGTGTTATTGTTACGACTGACATTGGTCTGGTTTAACATGGCATCGTATATATCATCCCCCTGCACCAAAAACATCATTAGATAATTCCTAATTAGAAACAAATGGAATTGACACCAATTACTAAGCAAGAAATGAAATTGACTTATCAATATAGACTTGCCAGTTGCAAAACATGATAATCTGCCTTTATGTCATCCGGTAGCCACTGATCCAGTACCGCCGCACCCTTTTTGGTTGCGGTTATTATCTTCTCCTTGCCGCCATTTCCTTCCTCATTAGCTAGCATCACCACAGAGCATAACAAAATAAACACCCAGTTGTAATTCGAAAAACAAAAATCTTAATTGAGACATCTATTACTAGTCATTTCCTACAAAATATTTCTTGGCAGCCAAACACAGAATGTGAAAGTCATACCTTTACCTAGAGGAATGCCATCAGAATGTTCAGAAAGCCTCTCCAGCGTTTTCGACGCAGTTGCCGAAACTCCACAAAGAGCGGCTTCTTCGTGCAATTGCTTCACGCCACTAAACTTTTCGGTGGCCTTCATTTTCTCGGACACAGTAGACTCCCCACCTCCCTCCTCTTCAATTAACTTCCCTTCCCTCTTTCTACTAACCCGTGAAGCTTCTGCTGCTGAACCATCACTTGCGCCTGTGGGTTGCTTCTTCTCCTCGCGAAGAGCAGAATCGGGCCTCTGAACCTGCAGAAAATCAAATCAATACCAGAGAAGAGAATCTTGGAGAGAGAGAGAGAGAGGGGGGGGGTGTTGTCATACCAGGGTGGCCTTCGCTCCGGTGGTGGGGAGACCACGCTGAGCCAATTGGTTTCGGGGCTCTTCTACATGGAGCTTGCTTGCCATTGGGGGAGAGATGGTTGAAACTGTGAAGGGGAGGGGGTCTCCTTTTCTCTCCAGCGTCCTCAGCAGCGGCTGTTTTTGTAGAAGACGTAGAGGAATTGGTATGAGATGGGAGAATCAGATTTGAAATTATATTATATATACTAAAACTTGTTTTCGGATGGCACTGTTCATTAATAGTTTCGGGACGGAAATGCCCCTTGCTTGGTTTGTGTTTTGGCGTTGTTCTCCCTCTTTTCTACATTGAAATGTCGGCTTTGCCCATAATTGGTGGGTGTTTTTCGACTGGCCGAATTGCCCATCGGGGTTTTAAAGGGTTCTCGTTGTTTTCGAGGGCTGGTGGAGGGAGAAGGTGGGAATTGCATCTGCTTGATCATCGTCCATGTTTGGTGGGTGTTTTTCGACTGCCCGAATTACCCTTTGGGTATTTATTGGGTTCTCATTGTTTTCGAGGGATTGGTGCCGGGAGAAGGTGGGGATTGCATCTGCCACGTGTTGTTCTAGGGATTGGTGCCGGGAGAAGGTGGGGATTGCATCTGCCACGTGTTGATCATCCTGTTATGCTCTTTTCGCTCTATTTTGTTTCTTTTTTGTTTCCCGTTTCTTATTTTCTTTGTTGCGTCGCTGTCTTTCGCTCTCGCCTTCTCTTTTGCTTTCTTCTCGCCTGTTTGCTTTGGTTTCGCGCGCTTTTGTGTTTGCTTCTTCTCGGTCGTCCTCTCCTTTGCTCTGTGCCTCTTTGCTACGTCGGAGAACCCTGTGGTGCGTGATTTTTATGTGAGTTTGGAAAATGAATTTTCTTCTGTTGCGTTTAAATATGTCTGGGCTTCGTTCGTTTTTTGGGTTTATCGTTTAATTTTGGTGATGTTGTCCTTTTGAATCATGCGTTCGAATAGATTTTAGGGTTTTAGAATGCTGCAGCAGTCGACGCCTGTGTAGAAAGAGGTCTGGTTATGTGATTTGCTGAAGCAGAGGTTATGTGTAGAAAGAGTAAAAATATGAGATAAATAACGTTGAAATTAGGTGTTCTCATTCTCTGTCAATCAGAATACTACTTTCGTGCACAATTTTTTCTATTTGTGTTTTCCATGAGTAATATATGCATGTGTCAAAATGTGATTTACAAGGAAAGAATGAAGGACACAAGTCGAAAAACAAAGATAAATAAATGAAGGCAAAACGTACATGACTACAACACCGATCATATCTAGTTCCATATATCCAGATGCTAATCATATCTTGAAATTGAAATTAACTTGAACAACGTAGCGCATCCTGATCTGTTCCACATTGTAAACTATGTACTCATTGTACCGTAATGAACCCTGCAAGGTGCACGTAAACAAGATTAATTTACAATGAAGCTGCCTGCCTCTGGTTCAACAGTTCCAAACCAAATTCACATCCAAAGTAATTCGAAAAAATGATGTATTTCTACCTCGTGGCTTGTATTCTCTTTCTGCTTTCCTAGGGGAACCACGACACCGTCATCTAGTAACTGAGCTTCTGAAAAATCTGGTTCAGTTCCCCCAACTCCTTTAGTGCTGCAATATTATGTTACATGCCAAATTAAGTCATGCAATACACGTCTTAGTTTCGAAAAAAATGGAGATAATGCAACAAGTTTTCGCCAAAAGTTATTTCTCTCACACAATGCAGATAAACTTCTTGGTCTAAAAAAACACAAAGATTATACAGAAGGGAGGATAAACTTCCAATGCAAAATACCAAAAGCATAAATGACCAGAAGAAGCTTCATCACTTAAAACAGTTTAGTTATTACTTATGAGCAAAGAAAACAGAGACGCAAACCTTAGTTTTCCTACAGGTAACTTGTCAGCATCGTACTTAGCGGTTAAAAGCTCAGCCATGTCACCCAGCGCAACCTAAATAAACCATAGTTAAAAAGTATTTAGAACATTTAGTGCGAAAAAGTGAAGCACATACAGTGCGAAAAAGTCCCTAGGTATTCAGTTGGGCTTTCAAGTGTAGCAGATCTGCGGTAGGGGAAATTCAAATTTTTAATCCAGAAATATTTTTCTCGTCTCTTGTATAAATCTTGATACATTCACCTCTCCCAGACCCTGCGTAAAGCGGGAGCCTTGTGCACTGGGTACGACCTTTTGTATAAATCTTGATCTTAATGATATACAATGCATTGAAGGATATATTTGATAATCTGATGCCAAACCACTCTTAACACCAGGTATTTTTGTTTTTAGTATAAAATTTATGTTTTTTACTTGCTGAAACTTGAAAGACTACCTCACATAGAAGCAGCACCCCGGATGTACAGCCATGGCAATACTTTGCGCTTTTGGAGAACATGTCTGCAAAGTAAACTCCTTTCCCGAACATGTGACCAGTCACTGGGGCTTCAGGTGGAGTTATGAGCAAGCCTGTGTTGTCACGACACATGTTTAACTAAATTATTAAGCAGTAAAAAATTCATACTGTATCTGCACGAGTGTGCACACAGTGACACACACGCAAACACACCCACCCATGATTCGAAGCTAAACCATAAAGGATCACCTTGAGATAATATACCAACCCAATTTGTAAGACGAGAACCATGCCATAAAAGCATTCTATTTTTCGTACTAGAAAACTGCTCACAAGAGTAAAACACAATTAGAAATTGCTTAAAATAAAAATGTAGGATATTCATGACCAAGAAGGAAATTTCAAGTACTTGTAACATTATCCAACATTTTATGAAAAGCCTCTCATAGATCAACCTAACCTTTCTGAAGCGTTCAACTTCACCCTCTTTAGATGTGCGGAATATTTGAACAATATCAACAGTGTAAGTTGAATGTGTTTTTGCATGAGTATTACGCATATATTTTGTAATCTGACAACAGCAATAAAATTCACAAGAATCAGCACCAACAGTGTAAGTTGAATTAGCTTAATTTTGTTTGTATTCGAATTTCCATTGCTTATAACTCATAGTTACCATATCAAATTCATGAGAATCAGCACCAACCGGTGTCAGCTCACAATGAAGGCGTCGATAACAGGAATACAAGGGATCTCCCTATAATGGTGGCAGAAACATACATTAGTAGGAAGGATAGATACTAGGACATAAGGGCAAGTCCGCAAGTGAAGCATGAGGAACAAGACTAAAAGAGATTTACCTGCCTTCCTGTGTCATCCTTCAACAATTTCGTTGCAACCTCAATTTCACCTAGTGCTTCAACCTTCAAGTAGAGAAGAGTTAATCAACACACAAATAGCACTTGTAGGTGGCACGATACTTATTCAAAGGAAAATAACCTTTGATTTAAGTTTGGAAGTTCTTAGCCGAACTATCCACACATATGCATGAAACAAATTACAGAAATAATTACCATTTCTAGCTTGTGTTTCAACTTCTGAGGAGTATCAATCACAAAGTTATCTGCATTACTCATATTTCCAAACCAATTAGATGCCTTCTTTTACAATCACAGAGACAGAGAGAGAGAGAGAGAGAGAGCTCACGCATTTTTTTAAACCCGAAGTCATGAGGAATGACAGTGTAGAACTCTCTGCAACAGGATGATGCCCATAAAAAATTGGAATTCCAAAATTATTTAAAGCTAAAGGTACCAAAGGAAGAGAAGAAAAGAGGTAGATATTAGTCAAGCATTTTGTTAAAAGTATATTTTAAAGAATTAACAAATGAAATCACTCTTTTGTTGGGGTTTTGAAAGAGAGACAGGGGGGGTATAGGGAGGGAGGGAGAGAAACCTTACCCGCTTAATTGTTCGATTAATTCCCTGTTAGATGAGCCAATCACATCAGAAATCCTCTGCAGGATGTTATAGCCCTTTATGTTGCAAAAAAAATAAAATTTATTGGTTTATTGAATCTTCATGGAGAAACGGATTGAAAGAGAAGACACTATACACGAAACTTCAATGTTTTGTACCAAAATTCATACTGAATTGTTTCAAGTTAATTTAGAGAAAGTCCTGACAGAAGTTTTAGGAAATATCCTTTTCAGTTGTTCAGCTTAACTAGTACCTGAAATACAATTATGGAAAATACACGCCCCCTTGCCATGGAAGCAGCCATTCCTACTTGCAAATCTCAGTTTGACATGCACACAAAACTTTTTCTTTTCTTGCATAGATGTCAAAATGTGTTCTAAAGGAGCCAAGCAATTTCCTACAATTAACTTTCAACAACAAAATAACTAGCATGAACTGGAGGAGACTTCACTTCATAGGCCAAAAGCTTACCTTTAGAATTGTTGATTTGCTAAGCTTACCCAGAGGCAACTTATCAGCATTGTATACTACCAAAGAAGAAGAATGTGTCCAAATAAGGGAAAAAGTACATCAGTTAACTAAACAGAATACACCAAAAGAAACGTTTGAGTCTCCAAATAAAATTATTATTCCGATTTAAGCAACTGAACAGCTTTAGATTATTATGAGCCGTAATTTGCAATAAAATATCTTTTTGACAGTGAATCAGACTAACCTATTTCCATCACATGCGGCTTCATCATGTCAATGTTGAAAATAAGAGATATAAAATTTGCAATGCAGGGCTCGAGTTGTGTTTCCAAAGGTTGACGTCCTAAAGCAGAGCCATTCTTTTCTTCGACCTGATAATCATTATCAAATAGTAAGGAGGAGCAAGCGAGATAATTTTCCTTTTCATTAGGTAAGACATGTCCTCAGTAATTTGCAACCAAGAATCGCTTCAGGGAATAAAGAGTATCTCCAGAATTCAGAAATTTATACAAACATAGACCAAGAGTTGTGGATACTGACAGCTGACTGCTCTTCCTTTTCATTGTAATCCATTTCTATCCACATATAGCAGGATGGGATAAGCTGGAACATTTTTCGATTGGACCAATCATTCCCTGTTTTGTCACGGAATTTCTGTTTAAACTCCTTGATCGCGCTCTCGCAGGATGCGTGAGGAGCTAGCTTGTTCTGACCCTTAAAACCTACTCTCCCGCATCTATAGTAAATCATGAAACTTCCACCAACTTCAGATTCTGCATGTTACAAAGAAATAAAATGTGGATGAGTACACATAGCCTGAACTTGTGTAATGCGCCAATGCCATGAGGATCACAACTCAATGGACCAGATGAAACTTTATTTATGTG